TCAGATGTCCGAGTTTTCCACGTGTCCGTATACGCACCGTGCATTCGTGGATCGTGGACTTTTGAGAGTGCGGAAAAACACTCTCAAAAATCCGTGTGTGCGCGGAAGGTGATTCGTGGGTATTAGACGATCCACGCATGCGTAGGTAACAATGTGTACGTACTTTCTAAAGAACTGCACACGAAAAATCGATTTTAAGTATTTGTAAAATGTGTTTTATGTGCAGTTTGTACAGCATGCATTTGTGAACAGCATGACACACACACACAAATGGCTTTATACGTGCAGATTGCGCAGCACGCCTTTGTGATCCTCAGGACACACACACACAAATCGCTTGTTACAGACGAAACGTTAAACACGCATTTGTAACATTTTTTATAGTATTTTATCTCCATAGAGAAGCTCCCCAGGCGGGAACTGCATTTCCTTTTTATACATAGACTTGAGTCCTGCTCGTGGTTTCGATCAGTAAAGGTAGGTTTTCGGAAACGTCTGTCGCACAGGAAATAAGCTGTGTGGTTCAACATCAAGCTCTGTGGTTCAAGACATGTTTTTCACTGAAGACACTTTGACACAGAAGTTTGTCTAGTTTCACAAGCACACAAACAACTATATATGAAAAAAAAACCTGCACTGCAAAAATCAGTATGTTAATAAGGGCAGTTTTCCATCACACAGGTCACATTTATGGTATGGCAGGTTAGGGCTAGATAATGGTGTTGCCTGTCACAGGGACCAGCTGATTTACAATATGACAGCACAACCTGATACCCACTGTGGGGCCCAGTGATAGCTCAAAACATTTATTATAAATATTGGGCTTCCATAGAAATACTCACCCAACCTTTGGCACATTTAACTGTGTATTAATAACTGACAATGGCCAGTATGTACAGAAGACATGATTACAGCAAGCAAAAACTATGCATATGGGCTTGTGAGTACAGTTTAATTAAACAATGTGAACCTGTCTTTTAAGAAAAACAAACAAAACATTAGGTTTGTGAAGCAAGCATGGACATACCACAGTGATTCAGTATCTCTAGAAGAACAAATAACTAGACACCAGGGCACATGTTATTTCTTGCCACAGGAAAGGAAAAGGAGTTGCTTGCTGAGATAAGCCTTTTCACTTCCCACAGATGTGTTCTGCATAGAATGATCACACTCTTGCAGTTTGGAGTGCATGGACTTGATTTTTTGAGTTGCTCCCAGAGACTAATTCTTTTTGCTTAAGGTATGTGCTTCTTAACTTTTCTTATACTTCCTTTTCTTGCGTGTCATATGAGGCAGGACAGACAACTGATAATAGAATATTTAGTATTTGTCTAAACAAAGTATTTGCGTGAGAAGCCAAGTTACGTGGATTGTCCTATTTATGGACTGTGTATAGAATCATGGAACCTTTCATTCAAATTTGCCTCTGATCTTATTTGCATCCATTTGTGCAGATACAAGACAAAAAGAGAGAAAAATGTGGCATGGAAGAAAACTGCTTCTTGTTGCAATAGTTTTCACGGCTCTCTACTACACAGTAAGTATTATTTCTCTCACAAATACTACTGTAAAACTACAGCATGCTATACAAATGTATTTAGGTATTTGTTCTGATGTTCTGTTTCCCTCTTTTATCTTGAAACTACATTTTAAATTCCATTCTCATTCTCAAAGGTAACTGCAAAGGGTGCAAAACTACTGGACATGGCCCCAAATGCTGTAGATGACATGTACACAGGATGCCATAAAGAGGCTATGAAGAACTTTATCCATTCAGGCCTTTTAGAACGAGAGCTAAACAACAGCAAGGGATTCCAGAAAGCATGGAAAGCAAACCCCAAATGTTCAAAGCCGATCCCTGGAGGAATAAAAGAACATTCTGCTGCACTTTTGGCATATGCTAATGCAGATGAAGAGTTTACTCAGACTTTGAATAATGCAGTGGAGACAATGGGCGTAAATGTTAGCACCTATGAAAACCACTTCCATTTCAAGTCTCTTCACTTTCTGCTTATGGATGCCTTCAGGCTGATGAAGCCAAAGAACTGCAAGACTGTTTATTTTGTCACAGAGAAGGAATACAAAGCAGAAATAAACTCAAGTGTGAGATTTGGAAGGTTCAGCACGGGTTATTTTAACGATAGTTCAGCAAAGGCCATGACTGATTTGGATGACCTGTTCGTTTTTAATATAACATCTTGCTTCTTTGTCAACCTGGAGAACACCACTTGCAGCATGCACAAGGATATGGCACTCTTATCTCCAGCTGAGATGTTCATTGTGGAGAAGGCACATAGAGTTAAAGTGGGTGATACTGATACTGAATACAATGAGATTGTTTTGCGACATTCAGGAGTGAACAGCTCGCACAACTGCTACATTTTTTCACGGTAAGGTTAAAATGATTCTTAACAGGTATTCAGCTTGGAATTAGGTTCAGTATGATTTCTTTGCTAAAACTGTATGTGAAGAATTGTATGGGACCAAGTGTTTGAAATAGATGGAAAGACCATAGTTTTACCTGAGTGCATGTAAATTTGAATTGCTCTTCACTTAATACTGTCTCTTACAATTCCAAGTCCATATAATAAAGAATAATATATTTTAAAGCCCTAAGAACCTGGTTTAAAATCTACAATATTTTTGTAAAACCTTAAATAACTGTGTAGGTGTACAAGTAATTTAAATGTTATTTTTGATTTTTATACATTTATATCACCTACAAATGATAAATTATGATTATATTTGCATTATAGCTCTAATGGTGATATGCCCACTCAACCCCCATCCCTTGTGTTTGGGTGTGGTTTGATCAAATTTGATTGACAATGCTGACAAAATTAGCACATGACCCAGTGAATCTCATCAGATTCTGACTGATATGGCGCTCACCATCTTTTCCCAGCTTCAAACCTGTGAGAACACTGTAAAAAAAATCACATAGGAATTTAGTGGAATCAACTAATCTTTTCTTGCCAACTTTACAGAAGCATGTATGTTTTTTTAGTTTCAAATTTTATCAACTTTAAATTCAAATAAAAAAATTCATCTTTTTTTTTGATCATCAACATCTTAGCAGACTTACAGAGTGAAAAATCTCCAGAGACTCTTTGTTTTTGTAGTTTGAATATGTTAAATTAAATAATGGTTGCTTCCTTTGATAATAATGTGAACCATGGAGGCTTGTATCAAATTCAGCCCCTTCCTTTGAATACTTGATTTCATCTTTGGCTACAACAGGAGCAGCTACAGCAACTGTTGTTAAGTTGAGCCATTACAAAATGATTTTCATTGTGGAGCACTGAAAAAAATACATAAAATCTCTCAACCCAAGCTATTCAACTGTGGTAGCACATTTACTCTGTGAAAGACTTGCCTATAAAAAGCAGGCTGAGAAAACAGGTCTTCAGAGACTTTAATACATTTTGATATTACAATAACACTTTGTAAAATAATCTGTCTCTCTGTTTCTGTCCCTGTAGGTCGCAAGCTGACGCCTCCAGCCAGTGGCTTGTGTCAGTGCTTGTAGCCTTATCTCTTTATTTCTTTAATTGTTGAACAAAAAACAATTAGCATCTCAGAGTGCCCTGAGAATTATTACAACACAAAAAACACGTTGTTTCTACAGGTAAACAATGAATTGTTTGATGTGATGTCTGCCAATTCCGATGATGCAAGCTTTTGGCTGCAAAAATATAGGCCTACTCATATATTGTGTTTTTAAATGACTTGCATCACACTCTGAAATATTTTTCTTATATACTGTATATCAGCATTATCAATATTTTTGCGAGGCAAGAATAATTTTCAAATAATTTTTTGAGCATTACATGTCTTCATTAGGGATGTTATAGTAGATGAAATGAGTGGAGGGAGAGGAGAGTGTGTGCAACAGAGTCGTGGGGTGGACACAAACCCAGTACGCTGCAGTTCAGGGTTGACACCTTAACACTCCAAAATAAGTTTCAACTGTCATTATCAGCTTTTAGGTGTATGGCTTTAGCTTTAGAGATATATAAATAAATATAATGGCTGCACTGACATTGTTTTGCCTCATTTTTTACACGTGTATACAGGTACTGTACATATACGTATATATACATATACGTTCCAGGAGCCGTGGGGATGGCTGAGTGACATACTTGCATGTATCTCATAAAGATGCTCTTTTCATGTTACACTGAGGTCCAACAAGTCTTCCAAATTAAATAGTAAAATATGTCAGTGGTCCACGCTGTACAGAACGACACATAATATTTTCTGATCCACAGTCATTATCATTACAATTGTAATAAAATGATATAACACAAACAGAGACACTATCAGCTTTTATAGTATTTTACATCATAATGCAACAAAAAACAAACTCACCATAAAAGCTATATATACATATACATATACATTGTCTGATTGGTTACACCAAAATATCTGAAGACAATATTATAACATATACTGTACATACACTTACAACTTTATAATAGTCCCAAAAAGTACATTTTTAAAATGGCATGTGTTTTCTCCTGCTAATAAAAATTACACAAGCAAGTTTTGGATACAACATAACAAAATATCTCAGTGCACACTTTGTGCTAAACATGTTCAAACTACTGTAATGAACAGCAGCAATGTATAATTAAAAAGAAATGAATCTCTAAAATAAACTGTTTAAACTGATGAAAGGCGTTAATGTCAAAAGACTGAAACTCAACATGAAACTGGAAAGCTATATTACATACAGTAGTATAGTATAACAGGATGATACAGAACATTAATTGTCAGAACTGAACATCACTGCTGACATTCCTCACTTAGTACAGAGATAATAAGGAACTATATATAATAAACAGCACATAGACCAAAAGAAGTTATCGGTGTCAGAGTCTGACACTGTGGGTCCCCTACCTGAATAAAACTGACACTACTACACATCTCCACAACAGAAGTAAAATTGAGCAAACTGTTTCCATAGACTCACCGTTTGTTGTAAAACACAACTTGAGGCCTTCAGCTTGTATTTGTTTGCATTTTGGCAAACTGGCACCATTACGACTAAGCAGAATTATCTATTAGCAGCAGTGAAGACAAGTCTTAATTATTGGGCTCAGAGTTGAATCTTGACCTCTGTCCACGAGAACAAGTGCTCTTGTCCTTGCTGAGGATGCTGGTTTCGACCCGAGAGAGAGTGCACATGCTACTCTGGTGACCTGGCCGAAGTCTTGTATTTTGGAGCTCCAGCTCATCATAGCTCGAGACCCGGACAAAGGGACACCAGCGGAAAACCTGCTTGAAGCCGGCCCTGAACCTGCACCCAATTCATCCAGATATATATATTTATACTGTTGTGTATATGAACCTAAATGTTGTTTTTGCACTGTGGGGTATTTGCACCCACCTGCTGTTGAGGCAGCAGTAGATGATGGGGTTGTACATGGTGGAGCTCATTGCCAGCCACAACACTGACAGGTAGACCTGCTGGATGTACTTCCACCTACTCAGACGCTTGTTGAGCCCCGTCACAATGAAGTAGACGTGATAGGGCAGCCAGCAGAGGGCAAAGGTCACCACTACGATGATCATCATCTTCACCACCTGCAAGAGTAAAATGACGGGGCATTCATTGGTGTTAATTTAGCTGCTTCAGTTTCAGGCTCCTACTGTTGTTCATACAGACTCATAGTCACATTACTCATAGACTTAAATCAAACAGAGCCATCACTAGTGTTATTAGTACCACCTGTGCTTTCTTAATCCAAAAAGTCAATTTGTGGTAGACAGTGTTGCAACCATGAATGTGCTTTATGACATAATGAGGAGCAACACTGTAACCAAAGAAGGGTGGGTGGGGGGTGGCTTTCCACCTGGGGACAGAGAAACAAGCTGTAAGCACCTGACTTATCATCAAATTACAGGGGTTGTTACTGAAAACGTGTTAGCAAGATGCTGTCTATGTAGACACTGAGAAGATTTAACAAACTGATTTTTATCTGCTGAATGATTCACTAAGTTCACCAGCTCATTGCTAACTTTGTCTGGAAGCTGTTGGCATATTGTTAGTTTATTGGAACCTGCTGCGGCTGAAAGCAATTTTGATGCAAGTGGCAAGACTGAGACAAAGTCCACATTAAACCATCACATTTTTAAAACACAATTTTCCAAAAATAACTGTCTTTCATAACATCCACATTAGGATTTCCAGGTCATTTGAGTTGAAACTTCTGTCGACAATGTAACACCTGAATAATGCAGAACCTCTTTTTGCCCTCATCTTTGGCAAACAGCACAGTGTGCATCACAGCCAGCATCTGGTCAGGACTGGGACAAATCACTACATATGGCTGTGACGCTGTCTAATAAAATTAATATAAATACAGCTCACTGACGACAGCTGTATATTCTTCTGTAATGGCATTGAAAATAATGCTCACAGAGAAAATGAAAGATGACAGATACTGTAGCTGTGTTGTTAACTAAATGTCTTAATGGCCCCAACCTGTGACTACACACATTAGTTATTCTGCCAAGTGACAAGCCCTTCAGCTATTTTGAACCCATAGAAGGTTTGAGGCAACAAAATGTTTTTCTTAATTTTGCTTCCACATGCTCTGTTTACTCTGTACACACTGAATCACCAAGGTGCTGTTTTAAGATTTACACGTTCTAGAATAATTCCCTCCTACACTGTGTCCCCTCTCATTGTTTTCTTAAACTGGAGTGACGTCAAATTACAAAGGCAAAATATACAAAATGTCATTTCACTGTAATTTCATTTGATTGAAGCCGTGGCAGTCAAATGAAGAGAGGGAAAGGTCAGTGGTGACGCACCAGACCCAGCAGGATCCAGGTATGATGGACGAGTAAGCGCCGCGGAGCTCATCAGTGTGTTCCAGCACAATGCAGAGCTGTGGGGGGTTAAAGAGAGTGGGCAGCTATTATGCCACAGCAGAAGCTCATCTGTGAGACTGGGATGAGAGCAACTTCCTCTTATCTCCTGACCAGATGGCATCTTGTCAGCACGGGCCTTTGAATCAAGTCTGACATTATCATTTAGCTTTGTTTCCTGGCATTTATAAACCACTTTTATCTTCCTCGGCTCAATTTTGGCAGCATTCTACTGCCTCTGATGATTCTTTTTAAGAAGCCCTCCAAAACAGCGTGAATGGCGCACCTGCACCTGTCTGTCTCTATTACTACGTGGTGAATGTGCGTTTGTGGTCCCAAATGCAAGTCAAGAGGGGAAAGCTATTTTTAAACTATTGCTAATTTTATTCTGAAGTTTAAATTAGTACTCTCTGTTTATTTATGAGTGTAATTTGGTCAATGACAAAATATTTTTGATCCACAGATTAGGAAAGCATTTTCATAATTTATTTATATCTGCCATATCTTTCATCACGGGATAGTTCTTGTCTTGTGCATTCTCTAAATAATCAGACATGTTGATCATGTGATGTTATTGATAAATTGTATTCTTTGCTGTTGTTCCCACAGCTGAGAAATGTTTGTCATGACAGCTGTGATGACCTTAATCCCTGTTTTACCCAGTAGCTGCTGCAACTGTAACTGTAACTGCTGTGGCTGTAATATGCTGTGACCCTGGGTGCTCTTCTCTTCTTCTAGCCTGGAGCTGCAACTGAATTTGTGTTTGCATATGACAAAATGTACTAGTAGTCACTAAAGTAGGTTTACTCTGTGTGGTTGTCAGATAATACAGTCTGAATTCCCATCACAGCCCTGAACTAATGTGCTTTGCAGCTTAGCAGAGGTCTTGACTCTCACTGCTGTTGTGCAGTGGTGCCTTTGCTCCTGGGATTATAATGTAATAATCAGAGAATATAATATTTTTTCATTTGTTTTTAAGCTGTTGTTTAAGCTATTAGAAGAGCAGGTGAAGATACAACAGCGATAGAATTCTCATTGCCATTTCTTCCTTGTATTTATTTTTTTGCAGAAAGGAAACCAGTTTGAAAACTGTAAGCCTTTGTAAAATGTAGCCAACTGAAGCTTTCATTTTCAAATAAAGATTCTGAACATACAGATGTGCTCAAGGAAAGGGGGCCTGAACCTCAGTGCTCAGTGTCCCCATGGGTGTATGAAAAAATATTATTATACCTGCCAGTTATATCCCAGTTTGTTGTTCTTTCATGAAAACTGTTAAATAAGCCTTAACTTGATTCATATTTTACATTCGAGGCACAGTTTATGTACGTGTGCTGCAGCTGTCTCTGTGTAGGTGTCAATCTGTCAGCCTTCTCTGGCTGGAATCTTTCCTGTACTGGGATCTCTTCAGTGGTTAACAGAGAACTACAAGATTTAGTTTAGGATTATTTTATTTGCAGTGCATGGACTGTCACCATATTATATGTCTAAACTCCTCGTCTTCTGTTTCACCTACTCAGACCTGCTGACAATGATTGCTCTCCACTTCACTGATTGATATTTTCTGTTGCTAACCTTAAACAGTGATGTAGTTTCCCACTCATTATTAGATTTTTCCTCCATTGGCATCTTTAAAACCTGTGTAAAGACCTACCATTTTTCTTTAGCCTTCTAATTCTTATCATGAAGCCAGGCTGGTCACAATAAGTTTTTTTATTTGCTCTCTGTATCATGTTGTATAATTTTATCCAAAATAATTAATTCTGTGCTTGTATCTTTTTATGTGCACCCTCATAATAATGTCTGTTTTCATTTGATTCAAATTCTGCGTAAAGCATTTTTGGCAGTATTTGGGTCTTTAAATGTGCCCTGTCTCGCTTCCTGCGCACACAAACACAAAAAGTATGAACATGGTGTAAATGTGCAGTGTTTACCTTCCGTTTGGCCCTGAGTTGTCCATGATAGTGATCAGATGAGTCTCCAGGGATCTCGCCTCCCCACAGCGTCACTCCCACGATGGTATAAGTGATGCCCATCACCAGTAATGGCAGAACATACACCAGAACTGTCACTATGATATGATACCTGTACAAATGGAGAAACAAATCAGCAGTATATTATAAAAAATTAACAAACAGGATGAAAATAGGGCGAGTGTTGACATATTTGGGGTTAAGGACAGACACAATAGGATGAAACATAAAGAACTATAAATATAAGAAGCAATATCATGGCCCAGGGAATTGTCAGTGTTTGTGTTCTCACATGAAGGGGTCGTCAGCCATGCGGGGCCAGGCCACATAACAGAGGGTCCTACGAGGCAACGCTCGAGTTGTGGAGAAGTAGCAGAGAGGGAAGGCCAGAACCACAGCCAGACTCCAGACACAGACAATGACTCCCAGTGTGGCTTTTGCTGACAGACGAGGCTTCAGAGGGTGGATGATGGCCATGTACCTACAAGGCAAACGTCCCAGCTGTGAATGCTAGTCAATGCACAAACTGCATTGCATGACTGCATGTCAGCCCTGTAACATACAGTATGCATGGCCATTATTACATCAGGCATTTAGCAAAACAGCTCACTGTGACTTCCTAACAGTGCTGACATGAATATTTGTCTAAAGATAAGTCCAGCACTGTTTAAATATATGGGTTAGTGGTTAATAAAAAGTCACACCACTTTCTCAAATCACTGCACTGAAATGAAAGGCCTCATGCATCTTAGGCATGTGTGTACATGTATTAAGTACAGCAGCTGTCACTTTTCATTCAAGTTGTAGTTAATAAAGAGATACTAGTGATTAATACGTAGGATAGTAGTAGTAGTTAATATTAAGTAAAAACATAAATTAAGAATTAAGTCAAAGCCTACTGTATATGTGTAATTAAACCTTTATATTCAGAGGTCACAAAATGTGCATTTCACAGCACTACAATTTATATAATCCAGGGGAGTGCAGCCGTAAACAAAAACAAATAATTCATATATTAGCGTGGAAAAGCTTCATTAATAGCACGACCGTGATTACTGTTATCAACCCCGTGGTGCCATACCTGTCGATGGCTATCGCAGTCATAGAGTAGATGCTGGCGAACACAGCAGTGACAGGGAAAAAGTTGTGAAACCTGCAGTACACTTCTCCAAAGTACCATTCTCCATGCGCTGCGTAGATGAAGTTGATGAGCGTGTTGAACGCAGCCATCGAAACATCAGAGAAAGCCAAGTTCAGCATGAAATCGGTCCTCATCCGCTTGTGCGCCAAAATAATCCAAATCACAATCAAGTTCCCGAAAACTGCCACTGCCAGCACAGTGCTGTAAGCCACCGACCACAGCGCGATGCGCCACGCGGGCTGCACAAACTGGTTGGTCAGATTTCTGGTGGTGTTAGACCCATCCTGTTCAGAGGCCATTCCTCAGGCGTCCTGGGTCGGATCTGAGTCGGTCCGCTGACTGAAGGCCACATAAATTACTTTGCCACCTCTGATGCTCAACATACGCGCAGAGTGAGAACGTGACCAGTAAGACAGAGAGAGTGGTCCTGATGCTGCCACTCCCTGCCATCACTTACTGAGAATTCAAACGAATTCAGTTAATACTCTTTTTCGTTTTTACAGTATGAGTAATTTAAAGGTTTTTTTTAACTCAATTTTGACCCATAAAGTTGAAATTACACTACATTTTACTGTATGGCATCCATTTGGACACGTTTGTCCAAAGCAGGTACATTAAACCTCCTCTGTCAACCTGAGATCCAGATCTGATCAGCACGTTTGAGTTGTGGTCATCTCTTCCTGCAGGTTGGACCCCATATTGTTACCCTTTAAATAAAGAGTTTAACTTCATAACTACAAATGTAATGTCCAAGCCATTTCTTACCAAAGGGAGGAAACTTTCATGTCCTGCATTAGTGTTGTCTGATCAGTGCTGATACAGATAATCCTTAACAGCCATGCCACCAAAAGCAAAGTTTAAAGCTTCAGGGATTTTTTTTTTGTAGGGTTGTCTGTATTATGTAACCATAAGCACAGTAAAACAGGCCAAGTAAAGCCATTAACTCTTGGACAAATTATTTTGTTCTCTATTTCTGTTTTTGTTATGTAAAATTTTAAGTAAAAGGACAGTAAAAACAAAAAAAACTAAATCCCTTATTCAGTGATGCCATTGTCCTAAATTCACAGTTGTCTGCTGCTTTATTCTGAATATTCAGACTTTCCTTTCTTTTTACAACACCTGGTTAAAATAGTGCCAGTGGTCTGTGATGAAACCAGACACAAAAAGAAAATGATTTAGTGCAAAAAATACTGCAGCCCTTCATTCCATATCACCAACTCTCGATTAATGCAATATTTTATTTTCATTACATCAAAGATGATGGATCCCAAACTTTCATCAAAATTAAAGACTGCATCTTCTGAACAATAATTATATTTGACATGATGTCAGGGCTCTATTTCTATTAGATGACTATTTGACAAAATCATAAATAAAGAATTATGGCCTCAGCATTTTTCTATAGAATTATATTTAGAAGCTTTAAAAAAAAGCTACAGCAAATATAATTGAACAGTCACTGATTGAATAAAATAGGGAAAAAAAATAATTTAAGAGAAAGATGTTCTTCTTGGTTTCAGATCACGTTTGTTAGAGAATGTTGAGGGGTGTCTTGTAGTGACTCTTAACTTTGTGCTTTGCACAATAATATTCACCTTCTCAGTTTTCTCAGTTTGGAGTAAATTCTCAATTGTTCGAATACTTAAAAAGCCGTAGAGATACCAAATCAGATACCAGTAGTGTATGGTAGGATCCAGTCCTAAGCCAGTGAAGGCATCTGCCTCACACAGGAACCATCCAATTAGTGTCTTTTACTCCCGCTGGGTATCTCTGCCACTTAGCTTAAAGTGCACCTACTGTGTTTGGCTTTATATATATATATATATATACTTATCTACCTCCTTCATCAGACTCTCTCCATATGTATAAATGTCCATTCTCTTATTGTTAGCTCCAGTCTTTGTAGTTTATGTAGTCACCCCTTACAGTAACAACACTTCCTCTGGACATGGAAATAAGAGTCTGAGGAAGGAAGTAGATTCTGAGATTCTGGGTCACCACATAAACATGTATAAGCTTCACACACTGGGACCGAGACCACAAGAAGGTCAAAGAGTCTGTTTTCTCTCAGCAAGACCTCATTACCCAGAGGGCTCCTCTTCTGTGCCACTCCCTGTCTCAAATACCACTGTTCAAACCTCTTCTAAACCCACCCCGACCTCCATACTAAAAAAGGTCACAAGTGATTAAATAACAGCTGATAACATCATTAGCTGCATCCAAAATGATTCCCCTCTCTTTTAAATGAATAATTAAGGCATCATTTTATCCCAAGGGGGGTAACAGCACGGAAGATGCGAGTGTCTCTTTATCTAGTGTCTGATCTGTTTGTAATTGGATGAAGTTTGATTGAAGTGTAAGGCAAATAAAATTGACTGACAAGAGGGGTTTGATACAGTAATACAGTCGAGTAAATACAACCCTGTTGAGAAAAGTAAACTTGTAAAGATGCTTAGCACGATTTTATGCATTGAAAAAACTATTAAGCAAAACATTTACACTTTGTGTAAATATAAAGTTGTAAATCTTTAATCAGACTCTAAGTAAGCAGCTTAGATTTCCCTCCTCTGCCAAAATATGAAATCCAGTCCTACCTAAAAGATCCCATAATTAATGAGTTCAACAACTGATCATTGTTGTAACCTATTTTATAGTAAATCTGTCACTTCTGTTTAACTGAAGCAACTGGGAGTTGTTTAGCTGTTCCTGTAAAGCTGAATCAGTCCCCTCTATCAGTACATTTTAGGTCTTGTTTTATTTTAGGTGTTGCTGCACCGCCCTCGGGGCCTGAGGAGTGACTCCTGCTGGTTGGATTTGATATGAACTAACAGAGAGCGAGTTCCTGTTATGTCACATATTGCCCAACAGTTTGAAATTTGAGCTGAACAAACAGAAAGAGGAGGGCCATGGGAAAGTTAAGCCAAAGGAAGTAGTAAGACAGACTGCACACTGAAACTGTCAGCGTTTGTACAGTATATGGTCGGGTTTATGCTTGAACTTTGCACTAACTCACTGTCTACATATAAAAGATTTATGACTGGAAAACAGCTTGTAAAGTGCCTGAATTGCTTTGCTTGCTAGTTAAAAAACAGCCTACTGCATTTCTGTTCTGAAACGGCTTTGCCTTTAAGTTCAAAGGCTGCTGAAGTTCAGTGTAACGGGGTTTTAACAAAAAGGTAAGACCCTCAGTGTTCAGCTATGTTTTTATATTCATATGCATTTTTCAATTTGTTAATCTGTGCTTGTGTGTTTCTTTTACTACAAACCATGTGATCTACTCTACCGAGGCAGCTTGCTGCATTTGAAATAGTCTAACTTTGAAACTGTGTCCAACAAGCCCGATTTCTGACCAACAGGTCCAGGAATGTGTTTTCTCAACAAAATGCACCAGCATTGCATGACTTTCAATTACAGTACACTAATGCTTTACAATTTTCTTTCTTGTTCACTGCTGATGTTGCATTGAGGGTTGTCCAGCTGGGCAGGAAAACTACATTATGGAAAAGACAATCTCAAACTGCAGATCCAGCTTGCACTGATATGTGCACATAATAATCCATGCCTTTAAAAGATCAACCGACATCCCTGCACATTGATTATAGACAGTGTAAATGTATATAATGTTAGCGTTGCATTGTTTTATACATAAACAATGTCATCCAACCCTTACCACATTCAATTATATTTGATTATGACAGCTTGGGAAACTGAGAAATTATTGTTAAAAACATCATTACAGGGCAGCTTTTAGAGCCTGTACATGTTGCTCACTAAATATGCCGTTATTTGTTTGCAGATTAAAGACGTTATGTCCCTGCCAGGGATTTTCTTGTGAATTATGCAACAACAAGAAATACTTAGAGTACGGCTTCCACTGGCAAACAACAAAAGTGCGCTGTGATCTCCACAACAACTCTGCCGACATGGGCCTGGGGCTCATCTTTTATTGCTTAGACTGGATTACTGAATTTATTGCAGACCGTCATTTAATCAAAAATGTTAATAACAGCTTTAGGTGTTGCAACTCGGAAAAAGCTAAAACAACCAAATAACATACAACCTATTTACTAAACATTCCTAACAAAGGTTGACAAGTCTAGAGGAAACCCTTCAAAAGTGTTTGACCGAGTCAGTCATTTTTTAACTAAATGGCTCACTGACTGTCTATTATGACTATTGAACTTTCACCCCAGTTTGTGACCAGCACCTGAATCTATCAAGCAGTCACAGTTGACTCTGCTTGGTTTATATACAATATGTTCACATTTGAAACAGGTTAGACTTCATATTTAATTTTAAAGTTTGCTCAGAGGTTGAATGAAGTACAAGGAAAGTAAGACAAGGAAACACATCTAACTAGCTATTTTTCTTGCCAACAGATGGAGCACGCCACTTTCCCACCACTGCCCCTTGTTGTCATTTGTGGTGGCACTCATGGAAATGAGATGTCAGGGGTGTACATTGTCAGAGAAATGCAGAAACAGAAGGTAGAAAAGGCCGGCTCTGTCTCTATAACCACTGTCCTATCAAACCCACGGGCTGTGGAGGCTTGCAAGAGATATATAGACACAGATCTCAATCGTTGTTTCACAGATGCCTTGCTGAGGTTAGTTAAAAAGAAAAGTTGTACTAAAACTTCAATGGTTTAAAAGGTTTTGGCTGAGAATCAGTTCATTTGAAATCTCTGATCTGCCTTGTTGCAGCAAAGTTGAACTGACAACTGGTAGACAAGAGAAAACTGTTTAATTCATGTTCTGTCCTCCAGTGGCCCCATAACAGATTCAGCACCATATGAGCTGAGGCGAGCTCATGAGCTCAATGCTCAGTTTGGGCCCAAAGGAAGTGAAGAGGCTGTGGATTTGCTCTGCGATCTTCACAACACCACTGCCAACATGGGCCTGTCCTTAATCTGTTATTCCTTAGACTGGATTACCCTACATATTTACAAGTATATACAGGTACATGCCTTAAGAAATCATCTAGTAAAAGTATTTTAAATAATATTTCTTTAGGGTTTTGTTGGTTACCAGTGTACCTCATATGTATGTAATATGGTTTCAAATGAGTACAAAGTTCAATCTATGGTCAAATAAAGTGAGATAAAGCTGTAGACTAGTGTATTTTATGTTGAATCTCATGTTGCTTGGTTTATAGAGCAAGGTGACGTCTGTGCCTGTGAGACTAATCCAACTAACTATTCCCATTTCTGAGGCGTATTCCCTGGAGTCGGTGGCCAAACATGGCTTCTGTAAGTGTGTGTATAAAATTGTTTTTCTGAGTAATTGTCCTGATTAAAGTATTAGATTTTGGAAATGTTGATTTTGTTCTCTGCAGCAATCGAAGTCGGTCCTCAACCTGGTGGTGTGCTCAGAGCTGACATCTTTAACATAATGAAGGAGGCGCTGGACCTCACACTGGAATGGCTTCAGAAATTCAATTCTGGTAAGAAACAAGCTCTAGTGTTTAAAGGGTGTGATCAGACCAATCACACACACACACACACACACACACACACACACACACACACACACACACACACACACACACACACACACACACACACACACACACACACACACACACACACACACACACACACACACACACACACACACACACACACACACACACACACACACACACACACACACACACACACACACACACACACACACACACACACACACACACACACACACACACACACACACACACACACATACACACACACATCTCTAGTAAATTGGACTACTGTAATGCTCTTTTCAGTGGACTGCCAAAACAGATAGCTCAGGTCTGCAGCTCATTCAGAATGCTACATCCAGAGTCTTTACACAAACATGCAAATATAGTCATATTATATCACTTTTTAAACTTTTTCACTGGCTGCCAGTACAACACAGAGTTAACTTCAAAATTCTACAAATGGGCTATCAGTACTTTTGGCTCCCACAGTGTATCACTTACAGTCCAGCCTAGGCTCTCACATCATTTGGTAGACTTCTTCTAACTGTACTTAGAATAAGATCCAGGTTCTCTGAACAAATTACCTGATGACCTGAGATCAGCCACTGTTGCTTTTATATTTAAAAGACAACTTACAATCTCTATGACTTATCAATTTTCACCGGAGTGTGTGCAGATGGACAACAGATTTTGAACTAATGTTTAATTAAATGTTATGTTTGTATGTATGTGCTGATTTGTTCTTTATAAATATTGTAATTTTTTATTTTTTAAAAATTTGTTTTAACATGACTACCATGTTGATAGTTGACGCTACTATTACTGTGTTTGAAACATAATATGCAAATAAAATTTACTTTACACAAACACATTTTCTAACTTAAAGTTCAAGTCTCGTGGTGACTGAGCACTTGCATTTCTATGGACCATTAATTTCTGCATGTATTTTGTTTAAAGGTGCATTAATAAGATTTCACAGCTTGTCTAATAGGCTTCGTGAAAATGGGACAGGATGACATGTCTCAGCTATACACGACACTCTACTGCCTACAGTGCTTATTGTTATTCCAGCTTCTCCTTACTCTTTTCAAAATATGGTGCATAAATTAGCCCCACCTGCCACCTAGAGAAGGTTATAAAAAGCATTTTTAAAACCACGCGTACAGCCAGCCATGGAGGAGCTCTCGTCTCCAAAACAGTGGCTGCCAGGCCAAAGGAGTTGCATTCATTTGCACAGAGAGAGAGAGACAGTTAAAACCAGGATTAATATCAGTTTGGCTTTTTGAGATGGAGAGTGTTTAAAACAGTCAAAGAACTCAAACTTGATTCTGATGTGGCGTACTTTCATCTGGATGCATTAGTATCTAAAGCAAACATTTGTTTTACTTTTGTATTGATGTAAGATGATCTTAATTTAGGAGTAATTTGAGCTTGTGTAACGTTTGTGCTTTGTATCACATTGGCAGTAACCAATGTGCTCACTGTATCCTTTGCCAACAGGAAGTACCTTTGAAGGGGGTGAAGTGGAGGCATATACTTTGGTCGGAAACGTTGACTATCCAAGAGACCCCATGACCGGTGAAATTACTGCTGTCGTACACCCCCAGCTACAGGTACAGTACAAGATACATGCACATATTACAGGTTAAACCATTACCTAAACAAAGCTTCATAAAGTGGTTCATTTTTCAAATTTGCAGTCATGAACTCAAAGAATCAAGGACACAAACAGTAAATGCCATATTTGCATTCAAAAGCTGCCCTGGTGCACAAAGACTCACCTGTTACTATTCTCCTGTCTTCCTTCAGGATAATGACTTCAAGCTTCTCCAACCCGGGGACCCCACATTTCTGTTATTTTCTGGGAAGACAGTGAAGCACGAGGGTGAAGAACTCTACCCTTTCTTTGTTAATGAATGTGCCTACTATGAAAAGAAGGTTGCTTTCCAATTAGCTCGAAAGATCACTCTGACCTTCCCGTCCATCAGTGTAAAGCTGGACAGATAATACACAGAATTTAGCGATATTGGCTTATAATGACAGATATATGAGCACTACATTTTTAATAATTGCAAACGATTGAGCTAGTTTACAGCAATGTTAACTATTACGCAGGTCAAATGCAATACACTTGATTTTGTACTTCACTAAATTACATTACAGAGTATGCACTATTCTAAGACCACTGACTAGTTTACCATTGTTCTGATTATGCCCAATACCATGCTTGAATAAATGGAAACCTGAAATTGATCACTTTCAATTATTTGTTTTAATGTTACTTGAATCTTCATAAGGACAAAGTTTGACAAAAACTGAACGCTCATAAATCTGCTCAGTCTCTAAAACATCAGACAAAGGAGATAAAGGTTCACACATTTATGTAAAGCAGGGACAAAAAATATATTAAAAGCATATATTTAGTTGAGCACATTAAAATGTACAACTGAATGACTTCAGTGATAATTTAGGTAAGGTTGATTAATACAGACACACTTGGCACTAGTCTGTGAGTTCAGTATGTTGGCATAACTTTCAGTTTAGTGCTAATTGGCACTAAACAAAAAGTACGGCTGAAGCTGAGGGAAGAGTCTTTAAGTTGTTCATCTTCTTGATCATATACCAGGGACCGTCACTAAATGCAGGTGAAAAAAAAAAATCAGGGAAGAATCAGTTAAAATGTAGTCACAGCAAAACATGTCTGATTTTTATACAACTGCACTGTGGTGACTACATTTCACTAACGCTCTTGAGAAAAGTAACAATAACCACAGAACCAGCAAATATCAAATTTATTAATAGAGAAAAGTGTACTTAAGTGTACACTGTTTACAAAAGCTAGGATGCACACAACATCAGATGTGTAACAAAATGTGACAAACTATCAGAATTTATGTTCTTGTGCTAAGAAATGCGTAATCTCAGAACTGGACACAAAAACAGTAGCCAACTGATTCACTTTCCACACAAATGTTAGATTTAAAGCTGTACCACCAACAATTTTACAGATGCCAAACCTGTACCTGACTATCAGTACAGTAAGTGATGAAACAGATAACTGACTGAAAGATTTTTTTTTAACTTTTACACAGTGAAATGTCATTAGCACAAAGGTTACCAGGAGGTCATAGGTTTGCTTGAGTGGCATCAAATCAATTCAGTCTAAACTCAAACTCTGTCAATAAATAAATACTAGATTAATAAAACACAACAGGAGAGATGAGTGGTCACGTTTAAGTGAGTAATGTTTAGTCAAAAACATACCAGACTGAAATTAACAATTACCACAGGTGACATAAATGTCTACTTAAAAGGCATGCACAGATTTAATATTATGCAAAAGCAAAACAAAAGGCATAAAAAAAAAGTCTTGAGTAATATTTTTCATGCACAAACAAAGATGACCTGATTTACATAACTGCAGGTGCCTATTTTGTTGCATTGCACATTTACTGATTTAAGGACAACGTGGTGAGCAGCTTTAGAAGCAATGGTAACCAAAAAGAAGGCATCTTAAGTACTGCACAGCAACACAGAGAACACCAGAAATAACAAATGATCCATAACGTCTAAAATACATTATGAACATGCCTCGGAATAAATACAGGTTAGAGAGACAAAAAAACAGAGATAGATAATGACTCAAAGGTATTAACCCCCTAATTGTAAGCACTTATGATGATTAGCTGCAGTCTGGTTTAGTTTATTCCTGCCTTTAGGTCTGTGAGACCATGTCAACTGTTTTTCCTGTTTAAAGATGGCTTCTATTGAAAGACTGATTGGCAGAGGAGTTACAGTCACTTCACCCAATTCACATCCTTTCATGAGCACAAAAGATTTTTAATGGAGTCCTGGACCAGTATGCCGTTTAAGGTACTGTATGTTATTACAGTAGTCTCTCTCTCCTCTATGCTACCCTGTAAGCAGTGATGCGAGTATAGTTCTTGCGGTGACTCCTAGCTGCCCACAAGAACAAAGCAGCTGCCATCATCTGCAGAGGGAAGGAGATGAGGGCGAGGTAGAGGGACCAGCCCATCGAGCCGTCCACCCCATCAGGTAGTGCAGAGTATTGGTGGAGCAAATCCACCCCAGCCATGAAACAGCAGACAGTGCCCAGAGAACACAGACCTGATGAGTAGAAGAGAGACATAAATGGGCAGGAAGGCGATAGAGTGCATGAACTTATGAGTCTTGTTATTTAGGTCCAAACAGCACACACCACAAAAATCTAAACTTGAAGTGATGTCTCCAAAATAACTCCAGCTGTACTGAACGCTAAAAAGTCCCAAACATCTCCTTTGAAATATGCACTGACTTAGTGTTTACCAAGAGCTTCCTCATCTAAAATAAAGACCATCCTTATGTAAGCCAGAGTTATTACACTTTGTAAAATTTAACATGAACTTTCAAGGGAATATAGCAAATATCATGATATCACATAGCAAAACCCTGCATATTTCTGTTTAGATCATCATGTAATAACTGAATTGATAACAACATGAAATGCATCAGCAACTTGTCCCATTGTCAGTTTTTGCATTATATAAGTTAGATTAAGTAAAGGTAAAGTGTTCAATCAGCCACAGTCAGGTGGGAAGAAGAACTGACCTTGAAAGCAGAAGACCACAAGCAGCATTACTGGTCAAACACCAGGCTGTGTGATAATCACATGTAACAGGAGCAAAACTCACTGGCAGCATATGGCACACATCGACGTAGTCAAAGTGTCAGGATACCACGTAGTCTTATTTGCCAGCATCAGCTTAGGTCATCGCTTCAGAAAATCTGAAATCTGATCACGTTCGTTTCCCGAGTCGGCACAACCGGGCCACACTTTGACCACTTTTTGTGTACGGTGAGACAGCACCCTCCAAACAGACTTGACCTGAGTCTGCCTGATCGACAGGAGTTAGGGTGCTACACGTGAAAACACCTGCCCCTCGATCTGAATTTAGCTGTTTTCCTAGTGCCAAGATGTTGATAGTGTCCCTATAGAAACCTTTGGAAAACAAAGACGGTCTCTGTCTTGTCTTTTTCTGCAATCTGTGGCTTGGAAAAGGGAAATAAGCAGCATTTGTCTAACCTGCAAGAAGATGGAGCACACCCACACCCAATGTCGGAGTGAAGCTGCGGCACAGGCAGGCGCAGACACCGACCAGCCCACTGAGGAACACCAAGGCCAGAGACACCAAGGGGAGAAGAAACTGGCATCTCCAGAGATCTGCACAGACAGGCGGTAATAACATACAACAACATTATCTAGGGTTCAGTAATGGCAGATGTATGCATGCATTTGCTGGAAAGTAAACTTAACAACTTATTTGCTTCAAGCACGACTACACAATATGTACAAACTCTATTATATGTACTTATAGCAGGACAAAGAAACTGTCTATTGGGCATCGATGACCACAAGAGAAATAACAGGTGTCACAAAAAGTTCGTAAACTGTTGTGCTAGTCTGTACAACTAGATCAAAATGGAGGCTTGATAAATAGAAAACATCTCACATAGGAAACAGAGACAGACATAAAAGAGGTTAACTTACAGGTTCTCAACAGATCTTCTTCGCTGTTGTCGTTTTGCTGTTTGTACTTTGGAATAAACTGCTGAGGAAGAGTGAAGCTCACACACTGGATCTCCATCTTGGGATCTAAATTAAAAGTCAGTAAGACTGAATGACACTGACAAGGAAATTGTACTTTACTGTGCATCATGATGGCCGGCCGATACTCCGGTTACTTTACATGATCAGTATCTGTGTCAATAAGGTGCATCTCTAGTTACAGGATCAATGTCATTAAGTACTGGCAACTTAAAATTACACATACTGTGATTGAAGATTTTATCCATATACTGTATGTCAACCATAACCATAATGTTATAATGACATTTCTATATGTCTTGTAAATGATTTTAAACAAGTTTCTGGGACTTTACCTAATAACTATTTTCAGTATCAATTAATCACTTGATTATTTTCTCAATCATTTGCTCTAATAAATCAACTTCACAGTACAAACTGTTCAACATCCAAAGACATTAGTTACCTGGCTGTTTAAACCAGTGTGACTGGCTGGGCACCTGGATGCACCTCCACCACAGGCCCAGGGTGCCATTCCAGCGGAACATCGTTTCACTGTAGAGCTTCTCATCAAAGTCTCCACTGACGAAGTCATTTTTTATTTCGGACACGTTGTCGGGTTTAACTGGGGGGCTGTTGTACTGGTACCAGTACTGAGTTCCCACAGCTACAGAGAGGTATACTGTGGCCAGCAAGCTCAGCACCGAGCCGATGACCAGGGCTGTGGCATGCCGATTATCTACCATGGTCTAGAGGGAAAAACAGCTCAATATGAGCCCGATTACACGGAGAAACCGCTGTAAAATATAAATGCAGTGTGACTTACACTCCTGCTACGTCAAGAATCCTGAATTGTATTGTTAGAAATGATATTTCCGCTTTGTGTTTTGGCGCAACATATCTGTTACTAGTGTCAGTTTGTATGACAGCGTCAGTTTCCTAGCATTGTACTTTATTTAATCATATTACATTTGTGCTACATTATGAGTAATGTCCCAAACACAGAGGCGTCCAAAACCTGCAGTGAAAAATCAGACACACACACACACAAGGAAATGATTAACTAACTAGCTAGCTAATAAACAAATGCTGCTAACGTACAGCTCGTTTGGCTAGCTCCTTAACTTTGCTGGTAAGTTACATATCACATCAATCAAGTACTTGTAGTTATTTGGGAATGTTATAACCCGTTTCATACCGCAAATATTAATCAAACACAGCTTTGTACCTCAGCTGATTAACAAAAGTCAACACCTTACTAGCTAGCGAATGCTAGCAAGAGCTGACTGCATAATCACTGGAGCATTTAGCCGACAACTAAACATTAAATATCTCGTTCAGAGTAATTTGTTTTACCTCATCGCTAGATTAAACATCCTGACATTAGCTGTAATTGCTGCGCTCATTAAATTTCCACCAACCTTCTGCTCTCTTCAATGTTCATTCTTCTCCTGGGAGTGTTGATCAGCGGTTCGGAACAAGCTTATTAGGCCCATTACCGCCACCTGGCGGTACGGAGTGTAGACAAAGAACATTCTGCTGCATGTTCCATTTAGGGAGGTCATATTTTTGTGTGGATGATGAGTCAGCATCCGCACTATTGTTATCAAATTCTTTATTAATCTGATTTCTTCCATCCGTTTTTCGGCACTTAATAACTCCAGCATACTTTCAACTAGAAAAACCATTCAAATATAAAAATGTTCAGCTTTTTAAGGACATTCATGCTCTTGTATTTATCTCAAATACACAATCAAATAAACATTGTTCTCCAGTTTGTGGCTTATTACGTGAGTTTACAAGTAGCTAATTCATCAGCTGTTACTTTTTTTGAAAAACTACTGAATGTGGCATCTCTTCTATTTGTTTTAGACATTTAACTCTGTATTGCTCTAACATCAGTTTTGCCTATACTTTTTCTGGTTGGTAGTTTTTGCATATGTCAGATATCATAGTTAAATTCACAATACATATATCGGTGAAGTTCCTTTATTTGTGACTACTGTGAAATAAATCACATACCGTAATCTGTTATAGAAAAGTGAATGTACAGTATATTCTGGCTACGATGCACATGTATATGCATTTGTATGTATATGTAGAATATATACTACATATACATACACAAAAAACCTCTTCTGGTCTTCTGGCACCAAGGACCTGGATAAATGCACCAGGTGAGCAACTTTAATTGCACAAAATGGGTGCCATGTTTCAGTCCGATATCTCGCTTTATGTGTATCTGTGTATCTATAGTGCACACAAGCTTTTTTCTAATCTCACATAGGCAAACCTCTGCTTCGCCCAGTTGCTCATGTTATATTAGAAAATTCCAGAAAACAGCATCTGAGAGATAGCACCCAAGATGCATTGACAAAAATAAAACCTCAAAAGTTAAATGAACAAAGTAGCCTACTATACTGTGGCCACTATTGTTTTTAATCACACAAAAGATTTAGATTATATGGAAGCATTCACCAAAAACTGGAGACCTTATCTCCAATTTATCAATTGTCTTTTTGCTGTTTTTTTGACTGTATTTAATGTGTGATCAAATATGACATCGTGCCCCCTTTGTAACTGTTGCCTTTAGCTTTTTGCATTGTTTTTGGTTTAAGAACTGTAACTTGTAATAACATAAGCTGTAATGCCTGGAGACTGAAAAAACTCTAAATTTTATGGTCACTTTAAAGCTCCAAGAGTCATGTTATTAAGACTGATGACTTCTGTTAGTTAGCGAAGCTTGAGTTATACAGTATATTGAATATTACGTTTGTTCTCATAAAATTAACCTGCTAGACTTTTGAAGGGAGTTTGGTCACTTTGTATCAGAAAAAGAAACAAGGGGGTTATAAAGTGAAACAACGAGCGCTGTCCTTGGTGCTGAAGAGAAGAATCCTGAACAGCACCTTTTGACTCAGGAATCAAACACCGACCTCAGCATCTAATCCTGTCCAGCTCCACCAATAACAAATAATCTGCAGAGACACGCTTCAGCTTCACATTTGTAGTTTTCACTACACATTTATTTGAATTTTTATGAATTAAGGTTTTGAATATCTGATGCTTCATTAACATAATTCTACATGCTGTCAAGCTGTACACTTGAATTCAATTTGTATAGCACCAAATAAAAGTCACAGGACATTTTACAAAGTAAGTAAGTCATCACCATCATGGAAAATAAGGCAAATACACCCAAAGTGGGTGTCCCAGAGCTTATTTAGTCATCTTACTCTGCCAGGCTTTCCCAAACGCACCCCTGGCTGGTACTGCATAAACCAGGTCCAACTACAATGTAAATATTAAACTGTCTAAAGTATCCCCGCCTCAAAGACATAATGCTTTGCAGGAGTGGGATAAATTCCCCTGGTGGGAGGCCTCCCAATGTCCAGAAAATCTAATAGGAACAAATTATACTCACAATCCAAGGTTTTACTGTAAATATAAAGACAGGACACTGTTTACTACACAGGTCTGCTGCTCATGGCGCAGTAAAGTCAAACACATTATCCTTAACAACCAGCCTTTATAACGAGCTAAACATGAAGCAGCACATTTGATATTAGCAGACACCGATAATCGTTTTACAGGTGCAGATACTGTATGCTGCTTGTTGTGTAACTGCAAGGGGCAAACCTAGATGATGCTGATCTTCATCAGCTGATAATAGTATTCTCAGAAAACATGCGATTCTTTCATATTAAGCGACAGGATGCCTCTGCTTTTGAACACAAAGTCAACAGCCTGTACCAGTGAGCGAATACTGCCCCAAAGAGCCTAGACACCGGGACACAACCTTAATATCAAGTGTGATTTTATGGGTTTTATTTAATCCAGTCATGAATCTACACAGCCTAGATACATTCAGCCTGATTCATATGTCCTCTCTGCTGAGTTTCTGATTCATACTCAAAAGCTGTGGGCTGCTGGGAGGAGACAGTGTCCACATTGTCTGACCACAAACAGGCTGCTGTTTACCTTTTTCATTAAAATGAATTAGCAGTTGCAACATTAGTTGTTTTCATCCTGGCCAGTGATGTTTGCCTTTTTGTCATATGATAGTAAAACTGAATTGGCCTGTTTGGTTGTATAAAACAGTGCTAATAAGATCTCAGTATTGGGACTACTGGTGTGTAGAGGCTTCAACAACTTATGAAAATAAATTCTGGGGGGAAAATTGTGGGTTTATTCTAAATAAATTAACTCTATATAGGCCTATATAAATATTACCTTAGTAGTTTGATGATTGTTTCTCATGATTTTCCAGCTGTGTGCACTTGAAGGCATTAGGGCATAAGCACAGTCATGTTTCTACTGCTTAAATGTTTGATCCTAAGTTTGTCATGTATTATAGAGCAGCAACTAATTATGTTCATTATCAATGAATATTTTAAAGTTTATCATGAAAATCTAAGAAAACCAGCAAATATTAACATGAGAAGCTGAAACTAGAAAGAGATTTTCTTGGCACTTTGCTTACAAAATAAATTCCTCACCAAAGCATCTTTATTAATTTTCTGTCAGTCCCCCCCCATCTCCTCATATACAGTCTTTCATTGGGTAAAGTACAGCAATGATGCCAAGAGAAGTTACCTTTCTGAGAGGAACTTTATTATTAAATCATACAGATTCAGCATATATGCAAAGTTGTTTAAGATCTATGGAAGCTGCATATCAGCAGTATTTCCCTGGTTTTTCACATAAAACATTCTCTGAAAGACAGACTCCTGTTTCATGGCAGTGCTGTAATCCCTGTGAAAAAATTTGAACATTGAAGTGATGGTAAAAAAAAGCACTTGGCATTCACATTCACAAGACACATTCAATCATCAGTCTCCTTTAACATTCAGTACCATAAAACAGATCTTTAAGAATCAACTATATATTCAGTTTATATGACAAGTGCTGTTCTGGGAATGTACAACAGCAAGCAGTGCAAATTAATTGGTTTTGTGCAGCAGTGAGTTCCCTTAATATCACAACAAATCCTCTTTAACAAACAATCTCCTGCTCTGTTTGTAATCAGAGTGCACTGTTGCATTCAGGATGGGGGTGGCAGTAAACTCCACCGTGCACGGCTCCGAGTTGCAAGGAGCTTCTTCCAGTTCCAGGACAGTCACATTGTTGGGTGCAGCTGTGCTGAGGATGTAAGCAGGAACGAAAAGCGTCACCTGAGGGCCCCGAGCTGGCCAGTAGCGTCCAATATTAAAGCCGTTAATCCAGACCTGGCCCTGAAAAACCGAAATTTAGAGACAGATTATTTAGTTGATTTTCGTGTGCTGTAAGAATTCATCTTCAGCTACACTGGGCTGTCTCAGTTGATTTCACTGTGTGTGGGGTCAGTAGACACAGAGGCAGAGACCAATATTTATTGGATTTCTTAATTGTGTGAAATAGCCCTCAGAACACAGATTTAGATAAATATCTAAATGTTTGATCTAAATGTCCTGTATGAGTCACATACCTTTTTCCATTTGGGCAGCTTGATGTAGGTGTCCTGGGGAAGGTCTGGGATGCCATCAGGGATGATGAAGCTGCCACTGTAGAAGGCTGGAGAAGAGAAAGCAACAGGCTGAGGAGGGTCTGCTGGTGTGGCCTCTCTGTCCCCGAGGAGGCCCTGCTTGACTGCTTCATCAATATTGAGACTGTACATGGTCCAGCCAGTGAGTGTGTCTTTCCCCAGAGTCAGGTTGGACACCAAACCCTGTGGTAAGAGAAAAAAAAAAAAAAGAGAGTTTTATGCATTAAATAGAATTATAGTATAAAAATATCTAGGCTGCATTTGAATTTAGCCTTAGGCCCAAATTATGCTTTGTGATAGTGTGATAGTTGAACATACAGCTACAGTATATTTCAATGTACAGAAATAACTTTGAAGGAAAAAACCTTGAAGTCATTGATGCCTTTTCCATAGTTGATGCGGCCCATGTTCTCCACCAGTATGTCAACCTGACTGCCAGCCTTCCCAGTCACATTTACAGTTATGGCTCTGTTCCTTTCAAGAATCCCCACAGCCATCTTGAGAAGAAACCAGCACAATTATGTGGCTATATCTCAGGTTTATATTCTAAATAATCAGACTTTCCTAAACAGCACAGACCAGCTGAAAGGGAGAACCTGAAAAAACATTTGTCACCATTTCCGCCTTAAATCTTTAACAGATATGGTGATTGTTGACACTTTGAACCAGGTGGTCAGGGACAGTAGAAACTACAATACAAACCATCCGGTATACCACTGCTTGCCAGCCACCCTTGCTTTTATCTTATTTGGTGGTGTGCAATATCAAGTAATGTGGCATTAAATCAAGACAGTATGGGTGTGAACTTGTGCATAATATCTGATAAAGAAACATGTGCAAAGTCTCACCCCATCCACCAACACATATGCTCTGTCATGGACTCCGTTCAGCGGAGATGACAGTGGAGTCGGCGTGGTGCAATTAACAGGCAGAGTAGTCCTGTAGAGGATATAACCAAAAGCCTAACGGACAGAGGAGAAGTAAATGTAAACAAATTAACAACTAAATAAATGAAGATCAATTCTATGACAAAATTATTACTGGTACACTTTGGGGGAAAAGCGACATGAACAGCAAAGCAAGGGCGTAGGTTTGGTCTCAACATTGGTAGCTATCGCTTCCTTCCTGTCTGGGAGCAAATATGACATTTGCACGTAATGTTAGCTTTAGATCGCCCCCCCTCCCTTTCAGTTTGTTAGGCACATCAGCATGATTTAATGACTCTACTCCAAAGATAAGGCACGTGGGTTTGTTCAGATATTGGCAGTGGCACTTCTGTCCTCCCAAAATATTGGCAGGGACATGTCCCTACTGTCCATATGCAAAACTACGCCCTTGCGTCAAAGGATACCTGGTTCAGTTCAATGAAAGTCAGAGGATACAGGCTTTTGACTTGGCCGGAGAAGGACAGTTTTTCTAAGGCATCTAATACTGTCTGGAGCTGTTGGGGGGAGAGGGTTGCTTTTAGTATTTACTCAATGTTTTAAAACCATTAGACAAAAAAAGTTTTCTATAGTGAATGGCAATAAACAATATGTGATTATTTGATAAGGCTGTAATAACTTAGATATGAGTTCACAGAAGCATGATGTCAACTGAGTACCTACCTTTTTCATCACAACAGCCCCATATGCATACTTTGGAGTTGTTGGTGGTATTGGTCCCTCTGGTATTTTATGGTACTATTATAGGAAGACAAATTAGTTCTTCCAGAGGACATATACTGTATGCAACCTCAAAAACACTCATTAAATGTTTATACTCTACTGTTATTGCACATCTGTGCCCACTTCCTGCAGCAGCTGATATAGATCTTGTAATATTTTATCTTAATCACACCTTAACATCACATCCACTGAAGGCATATTTAAATGCAAAAGTAGAAGTCTATACTACAGTACGTACCATTTTGATCACCTCTTGAATAGCAAAGTACTTCTCTGTGAGGTCCCCTGCTTCTGTGAGCGGTGCATCATAGTCGTAGCTCGTAGGCTGTGCGCCATATGGTTCATTGGCACCTGAAGGCAGTAAGAGGCCATCAGAGGGTGAGTATTTCCTCAGGTGATCATTTTGGCAACAACAGAGGTGTTATTTCTGGTAAGTATGTGAGTTTATCAGACCAGCATATCAACTCACCATTCCAGTATCCAAAGTTTGTTCCTCCTATGAACATGTACCTGTGAAGAGAGGAATGAAAATCACATGTAGACAGTTTAATAACTTCATACTCTGAAAAAGAAGACATACAGTAGGTCCCTGCTTTTTTTCTTTTATTTATCTTGTATTTATACAAGATGACACAGTAAAGAAAAACATTATAAAAGACTGACAATACACTCACACACCACAACACCACATATGGCAGGGCATAACTTACAGTATAATACCATATGATTAAACATACTATTTAGTTGGTCTGGGGGTCTATATGGTCTGTAATAATTCCAAGTACGGACTTGAAAAAACAAAGAAAGATACTACTGGGCTCAGGGTGTCGCAGCGTTGCTTGCTAGTACCGGTAACCGCAAATTGGGATCATCAAAAAGCATTCTCTCACTGGATGTCAAAGTACTAGAGCATCATAAGTGGTATCACTTCCTATACTGTAGCTGCTACTCTGTCCACACTAAGGTTGGGCGGTATCCGATTTTTGATACCTATAAACTTGCACCAAATTATACCCCAGTATATGGTATTACCGTCTGCCTACCAAGGGAGCATTCGTCATGTTGTGTTATAACTGCTTAAAATGCGGCTTTAAAGTGCCTTAGATTTGTGTTACTGGCTATTTAGATTTGTGTTATTGATCATCTACTTTATATTTCACTTGTATTGTGTGGCATTCATATGGACGACAAATATTTCATTGTACAGGGAAACACGTTTCCTAACTGTGTATGAGAGTGTCTGATTAGTGAGTTTATTTTTTGACAGGTTCTTTATTCGATAAATTAGGCTTACATCATTTACTAGAAATGGAAAAATTTCACAACAATAGCCTACACTGTTGTCATTAGCTGATAAGCTATCACTGAAAGCTGGAATGTTGTGGTGAATTTGTTATGCAAATGTACATCTTTATTTGTCTGCATAGGTGTGTCAAAACCTCTATTACAAATCTGTAGACTCACAGGTTGACGTTTGCTCCCATGGCCAGGATCTCGTTCAGGGACTTGACCAAGGCTGCAGACGACACGGTGCTGTGACGTGATCCCCAGTGGTCCAGCCACCCAGTGTAAAATTCGGAGTTCACCTATGATGAAAGAATCCACCTTGTTAGCATCTAAAAGAAAATGTTGTGTGGTGTTGAAATCAGGGAGTACAAAATGTATGGAGGGAAAACTTGCCAAAGGTCCGTGAGGTTCAGCGTGTCTCTGTGCATCAAAGGCAGCAGATACATTTGTGCCTAGAATAATGAACAAACAGTGATATCTGCACATATATTTATGCAACTTCATGACTTCAGACTCATCTACAATGTAAATAGAAAATGGCTGACCTTATCCTTTTTGTGTAGTGTAAATATATGCACGCTACTTGCCATACACTGCAGAATATTGACCACATATGAAAGACAACAACAGGCTACATATGTATATGAAGAGGATTTACACTGTTAAAGGAAGATTTCAAGCAGAACAACATGACTGACACCACCTACCTGGCCCAAAGTCTACAGTGGCATAGAGACCTTGTATTGAGCCACATTTGAGATAACCGACCCCAGCCCCATCTGTGGTGAAGAGCACCACCTCCTTCCCCAGCTGGGTTCGGAACAGGTTTGACAGATGACGCAAGTAGTTGTAGTCACAGGCAAAGTAACTGCCGTATTCATTCTCCACCTACAATACCAAACACAAGCACATCAGGAAAAGGGTGTTATTACCTTACTGAATAAACTACTGCAATGAAACATAATGCTCAACAACAAACTCACCTGTACAGTGATGATAGGACCACCGTTCTGATACAGATAAGGCTTTATCATAGGCAGTAACTTTCCCATCCACTTATCTGCTGCCGCGATGTAATCTAGAATACACAAATAATAGTGTGGTACATCCAGCAGCATGCATTGTGTGTGTGTTCCATCACTCATCCTGTTTAACTCAGATTCTCACCTGGATCTGAAGAGCGCAGCACAATGTCTTTCTTGGTAAGAAGCCAAGCGGGCAGTCCACCCTAGGTCACAGAATGAAATCACAAATTGATGTCAAGTTTTTTGGTGCAATTTAAATGGCTTACTGCCTAAAAATGAGCCACAATCACATAAAGTCTAAATGGAGCTGGATCTTAAGTGACAGTAGACCTAAAATATGCAGAATCTCTATGCATTAAGCATCTCTGTACTGTAAGTGGATGTAGGAACATTGCTTGTGGTTATCTGGTCTGGTACACTGGATTCTAATGGTGATGTGTGGTCACTACAGATGGACAGAAAGAACTTGAATTATGCAGTAAGAGTGTTTTGGGAAATTTTAGTGGAGACTTCTCTAACAGACAATTTGAGTATTTGTATGGGGTCAGTGGGCATAAATAACTGAGGTACAATACATTTTTTTCCTTGTAAATTTCACCATCCTTTGTTATGAAACTATATATGAGCTAAATCAGAAAATAAAACCTGTGACAAGATTATTTGCATGTCTCATGTGGATGTTGTTAATACACCAAAGCAGGGATTATATTGTATTATCCCACACTGATAATAGATGATATCCAACAGGAGTGAAAGCAAGGTGTTTCAACTATACTGCCTCTTTACCACAACGGACCTATGCATTTTTACTATAGACTACGAGTTCCACACTCACCATGTCCCACTCTGCACATATGTAAGGTCCTGGCCGCAGGATGACCAGTAAACCAATTTTTTGAGCGAGCTGAAGGAAATACTCCACGTCCTTCTCTCCACTAAAATTGTACTGGCCTGGAGACTCCTCATGGTAGTTCCACGGAATGTACCTTTAGAGTAAACAAAGTGTGAGTTCTATACAAACAAATCGATTATCACTCATTTGATACAGATTAACTAAGTGATTAATAGCCTAATACTTGCAGCTCTAATAACAGTAAACTGCCAGTAACAAGTCACCAGGGGGCCTTCTGCATCTTAGGTCTATGTCTAATCATTATTACACTGCAGCACATGTGGCTGCTGACATATGACATAAATTTTGTTGAGTCTTAGTTAGTTTTTTTTAACTGAAGCCAACCGCAACATGGCAGAGTCCCAACAACAACCTGTGACTGAAACAACAAACAAGTCAGAGCAAAGCATTCAGAGAGCGAGACAAAAGGTAAACCCACGTCTGGATCGCATTCAGTCCGGCCATGTACATCTTCAGCAGTCGATCTTTCCAGTAGACTCTGGGGATCCTGTTGTAATGGATGCTTCCTGATATATAACGAAACTCTTCTCCATCTTTCCGAAAGCAGTTGCTCTTGTAGTCCACGCTGAAGGAACGAGGTGCACCAAGCTGCAGTCAAACACGAACAATTTGACTCAAAACTCCATTTGCAAATACTGCAGTGATGATCATTATGAAGTGAGGTCAGTTTAGAGTGTTTGGCTGTGTAGTTAAAGTTTCATATCCTTATGGCTCAGGCCTGACATGTCAGCTGACTTTGGGATATGTCACACATAACTGCCAATCTAACAACATATTTTTAAACACTGTCATGTTGAAGGCATGTTTAAAGGGTGGATCAGTATTGTACTGTTTATAGCCTACTGAGAGAATTTAACTTAATAGGCTAATAACTCTGTTGTATTCAACGGATAACAACTGAAAATATTCTGGGCAAATATAATTTACTCCAGTTTTTACAACCATTAGTGGTATTAACAAACGTATTTTCCATTTTAAGAAACCCTTTGAAAACACCAAAATACTCACCGACTGTCCAAACACCAGCAGCAGCAGCAGTGCGCCTCCAGCTGTAAACAAAGACATGTGGAATCCTAACAACAGCCTGCCGTTCCGCTTCAAGTGTACATTTAAATTAATCTAACTTCACATGCAGCATATACATGAACACTGTGAGCTGCAGTAGCTACTTCCCTGAGTACACTCTCGTTTTGAATGAGTGGTGTCATGAGTTGCGGAAGTAAAATCACGTGACGCCACATTTCGGTGGTGTAAAACGCTCATTAATCGGTAGGTGTCAGTTTTGTACATTTTATTCCAAGGATGGGGTGAAAACTGCACGTATAAGCACCAGCTCATGAAGGTCTTAAGAGATTGGAGTGAACAGATAGCAAGACGGAGGAAACAGAAAAGGTGGTTTGCTTAGTAATGTATTTCCAAGTAAGTCGGGTCATTTTATTGGTCAAGATTAACTGAAGCTTGGGCTACTTAACCTGAATAACATCTGCTTGTAAAGGCAAACACCTAAGATGTATGCTTTTTGCAATAACAGCCATCCACTGTTAGAAATATAGGCAAAAGAAATAGCATGAAGAATGACTTTAGGAATACAAAGAATGTGTACACATATACACAGTCGTGCCTTTAAATGAAAAGTTTAAATGAAAGCATACAATAACGAAAGTATATGAATAACTCAGGTCTGCAGATTAATAGCAAATGAGAATAATCATAAGTTGCAGCCCAAACCTATGCTCAGCAGATTGTTTTGTCTTGAGAGATATTTGGGGAGGAAATGAAGTCTGCAGTTTCCCTCTCCCTCCAGACCTGTAGATGGCGGTAATGCGCTGCCACGTTGTTTACAATTCGCCATTGAACCGGAAGCAATGTACACACGGCTGGTGGTGATCACACGTGGGACGTTGGTTTATCAGAGTAATGTGGTATAATCGGTGTAATTAGAAAACATGCCGAAGAGACAGCAAGCTACGCCAAAAGAAAAGAAAGGCTCTGAGGCAGGACATGGGGAAGAGGAAGTCCAGTATTCGCCGCCGGCTACCAGACAGACCCGTAGCGGTCGAAGGGTGCGCACTCCTGCCTCCCTACTAAACTCTGAAGTCTCGGTGAGGACTCCGAGCAGGAGGACCAGGAGGTCAGTCATCCAGGAGCTCTCTGTGCTGAAAGAGAAAAACACAGAGGAGCCAGAACCCGGCCGGCGTCTCCCGCCGGCGCCGAGTTTAACGGCAGCGGAGACAGTCATCTGTCGAGGTCTGTTCCAGCTAGGACTGTATCCACAAGCTCAGAGTCCGTCCCACTGAAGAAGACTCGTGTGGCTCCAAGTGGGAAACAAAGCCCGGTCATTCCGCAGGGAAAACCTAAATCAGGAAGAGTGTGGAAGGACCGCAACAAGCAGAGGTGAATAAACCCTCCAGCGTCAGTCCACAAACCTCAGTGCCCTGGTCTGACCACTTTCCTCTTAGCAGACATTGACCTGAAGTCTGCTTTTGTAATGTATCAGGTCAAAGGACTGAGCATTTAGTATTCTGCTTTATAAACCAGGTTATTTACACATTCACCAGGTTGTTAAATACTTATTTTGACATGGGCCTAGATATATACAACAATCTACAGTCTTATGTGCTGACAACATCTTGTCACTAGCAGCAGTTATCAGACATTACCATGTATCTGCCAGTCTCTTTACCGTTATAGTAAAGAATATCAACCACACATTTTAGTACAGTAATGAATTTATACAAAGAAACCTTGAAAAACATGGCTTTGTTTATTAAATTGTTTTTGTGAAAAGAAAAACTCAAATATTATATGGGCAACTAAATTAACTAAGTCCAGTACAGTCCAACTCACCCCAGGGTACATCACCTGGTAAATGCTTTATCTTCCAGGTTCTCTGCGTTGCTAAGAGATAAACCACTGTGCTCCTCTTGGGAAAAGAAGATGGAGGCCAAGCAAGAGAAGCAGCTGGTGAAACAGTTTTCGTTGCAGCTTAAAGAGGAGAAAGCCAGACAGAAAGAGGTAAGCCAGGACTTTGTGATGCTGGTCTGTTTGACCATTGTAACGCCACAGCATTCACACGTTTGTACTTATTCTGTTTGTGCCCTCTTTAAAGGAAAAGAGGAAAAGGAGAGAGGAGAACTTGAAACGTCGGGCGGAGAACGAGCGCAAAGCAGAGATCGTGCAAGTGGTATGTTGACTTTTGTCTACACATGCATCCTTCAGTTAAATAGTGCAAACAAAGAAGTAAAAAGTGTGGTTAGAACTAAAAACAGGGGCGTTCATGTCCTCAGAGTGGATCAAAATTAGCAGTAAAGGGGCTAAGGCTGAGTTTAGACTGAGTTTCAAGGATGTGAAAAAGCACAGACATCTCCATTCATTTCAGTGGGGGATTGCATTCACAGCAGATGGCACCAGCACTGCAGGAGGCTCTGGCAAAAAGATGCTGCCCCCTGTGGTGAGAAGGTTGGATCTGGTTCAACTTTTGCCGTCCTAGACGGTGGTGTCATTTAGCAAAGATGTGAAACCAATCGCATACGGGGCATGGTTGAAATGTGGAAGCCCACAGGAAGAAGACTCTTGTTTATCACATTAGCATGAGTATTCACTGCTATTCATTCTCGAATTTCAGCCACAGTTAACACACTATAATGACAGGCCGTTAGTTGCATCATTAGTTCTAGTTCTGGATGTTAAATGGTGTTTTTTATCTATCAGTACTGACACACTGGTGGTAGAAATTGGTGCTAAGGTAGAGTAAGCTATGTTAGCAGCATGGCTAACCAAAGCAGTGGAAACCTGCAGGGTGGAAACATGAATGACGGCACTCCTGTCGACTTCTCACAGTGTGGCCATATCTACATTTCTACAACACTCCTGCAGCTCAACCCCCCACCCCCACAGTTCTTTGCGAACAACACAACAGGGGGTTATGATTTACTGCACTCACTCCGACTGCCCTCATCTTCTATCAAGCATATTCTGTATTATCAATGCAATGGTCCATGGTGTTATCACTATGGTGTTGAATATGCCAAACAGCTTTCTTCTTAAGTCCAACAACAGCCATTAAACTGGAACCGACTCCAACTTCCCCATATCCTTTATATTTGTATATATTGCCCTGTATCACAGAAAGCAACCCACATGTCAGATTACTGTTCAGCCTATAACATGCATGAACGTAATATGCAAGTGATCACTTTCAAACAAGATAATTGTTAGGTTAAAATTAATTTAGTACAGATAATAAAATAAATTTATTAATAGTAAAATTAATTTTACTATCTGTACATTGATTTGTACAGAAACATGGAAAGCTGTTTTTATGAGCACAGTCTTTCTGGTGGTTAATTTGAACTCTTACTTTATTTGGTCTGCTTTGTATCACAGATCCGAAATACAGCAAAGATCAAGAGGATGAAGAAGAAACAACTCAGAAAAATTGAGAAGAGAGACACACTGGCTCTGCTGCAGAAGTCACAGAAGCAGACCACCAAAGCCAAAAGGCAAAACAACAAGGTCGACCAAGATTTAACCTAAAGACTGAGATAATAAACATGCATCTGTTCACTGCTTTGCTTAAATGTCTTATGTTTGGATGTCTGAAATACAATGAACACGGTCAGAAATGTGTCTTTTGAGAGGACTTATTTGCACATGGACCTAATAAAAGTATTTTTTAAATGAAGTATTATTAAACGAGACCGTGTACTGGCAAGACTGTTGTTGTTTCAGTTGCAGGATTTCTAAATGATATCAAACTAAAATTTTTATTCTTCACTAGTCACAGTAATTGATGGTCAGGAAAGCTACAGAAAAATTAAACTGGCTTTAGTTCTGAGCATAGTGTAGTAATCGGTTAAACAGACACCAGCTGAAACGCCACATCAGAGAATAGTTCATTTAAGATTGAGATTATCATGCAGACATGGATTTAACAATCACTGAAGTAAGTGAGAGTTAACATACTGGCATTTGTTGTGACACATTACAATGTCTACATCTGTATATGTGAAAGAATGTGTCATGAGACATGGTTTCTTAGAACACAATGTATGTTCACCCTAAATAGCAGAGTAAACTTGGAGAGCAGGCTGCACACAAAAGGCCCTGTGCTTTTCCCTGTCTTTAATCTCATTCTACAGATGTAGCACGACACATTCTTTAAGGTTCAGCCACAGAAACCTGCACAAATAATTCACAGCTATATGTCACATGCACACTGCTGTCTTTGTGTCTAGCAGCAACACAATTCCTTCAGTTCATCACCAGCCTGTTTGCTTTGTAAATCTTTGAAATACACAGATGAGTGGCAACAGATGTGGAACGTGCGATCATACTGAAGCCAGGTCTCCATATCATTGTTCCTGTCTCCCATTCACTGTGTCAAGACAGTGACAAAAGGTAGAGCTTGAGGTGAAGGTGCACATCTGAGGGGGTAAAACCGAGTCAAGAGCCAACATCACAACTCAGGGCAGCTGTAAAAATAAAAACCAGAGAACTTTTGTAAGCACTATCTTTATATTTTTTATGTTTTTTTGTGTCTCCTAGAGTATAAACTTGTATGGAAGTGGAAGAAACTGTTAAAACATGCTAACCTTGTAGTCACACCAGATAAAACCGGACTGCATCAAAACTATATTCCATATGAAGCTCAGTTGTCACAGTGTAGATAACGTGAACCAACGCCATTTATCCACAAGATGGGTGACATTACACAAATGGTTAATGATCTTTCGGGCGAACTCGGCAGCATCCAAGACACTATATATATCGTAGTATAGTACATTTTAAATGAAATTACAGTATAGCTGTGAATGTTAAGTTTGAAGTTTGCTTGTGATGAATCCATAAGTGAATCTGAGCAAGTGGTTTTGTATTAAGTATTCATTACCTCTTCACTTTATACAAACTACTGTATACTATTACATTTAATTAAAAATTGATTTTAAAATATGTATTCTATACACAAACCAAAATGACAAAGCTATAGATATATTTGTGAATTTATTAAAAATCAAAACAATTATTTCAAAACTATTTATTCCCTTTATTCAGTCATTTGTAGAGTCCTTGACTTGAGGTCTGAATACTGGGGTCTGAGTGAAATCTTAAAACATATTTTCTTTAAATTGTCTAACTTTTGTCACCTTATTATTTCCACATTATAATCAAGGAGGTGTTCTGATATATTCTGAATATGTATGCAAGAAAAGAAATCTCAAATTGAAAATTTTATTTACAGTTCAAGTCAAGTCATGCAACATTTTCTTAAAATGAACAAACATGAAATTAGCAAAAAGAAAAGAAAAATGCATATTATTTTCTCCAAAATAGCAATATACAAAAATAGAGCTTACAAATACTGTACAGCAATTGTCTCCAAATATATTCTGCTGCAGAATTCTTAGTTTTACAATGTCTGTGAGAGTCCACAAACATAAACAGTGTTAACAAAAGAAGTGTGAGGGTAGAGGATATAATTGGGTACAATGTTAAAGGTGGGAGGTTTTGTTTGGACAACAAGGGGGAACTAATCTGTGAGTTGGAAGAGCCCTACTAGAGCTACAGAGGAAGAAACAACACACCACCTAAGGGAGGCAGTGAGAGCGATTACTACTCCTAAATGAGCTGGTCACAGAAACCAACCCTGGAGGTATAATGGACCCCCCCTGTATAAATGACTTTCTGATGCCATCATTTAGACGTTTTCTACTCCCAAGTGTCAGTAACAGTTTTCCTGACTGTTGTGTTTCATCTTTTTGTGTCTCGTCCATTTATAGTGGAGTTAATTCAGAAGCAGTGCTGATTTCAGTGGCGGGAAGCCATTTACAGTATTACTATATTCATGACTGGTTCCGCTTCCTTTCTATTTTTGGCGTAATCTGACAGAGACTCTCGCCTATGTCTTTTTTTTTTTTTTAAACAATTCTTTTTAGGTGGCTGGTTCTGTGATTTGTAGTGCTTCCTTTTGGGTTGGCACTTTGTATAAAGTGGGATTAGGATGGCTCACAGGAAAGAAAACAAGGAAGTTCAAGTGAAAAGACCACAAGTGTTTTCAATCAAACACACCACTTAAAATGGCCAAATGGCAGGAAGAAGTTTCTCATGCACCTTGTGTGTAAATATACTACTTCTGGTGCTAGTGTCTACATACATTTGGCAATGGTGCTATCGATGGAAATACGACTATAAAATGACCTGCTATCACATGAAATCTCATTTTCTTTTCTTCCTCAGGTGAACCATACATTCACAGACAAAAACATTAGCAGTAAACAAAGCTTTAAGACTTGTGTTATCAGCGTCATGCTACAAAGTATCAGCTGTCTTTCAGGGAAGTTTGGGGGAATAATGCATGACTAAGAATATTGGGTTTCACTATGTAAAGGTCTGCTGTGAGATACAGGGTCAATGAAACAGTCTGTTCATAGCCAAAGACTAAGAAGCAAGAAGGTACCAAATACTGTACATAACAACACTGACAAAAGGCCCTACTGCTGCTCATTTTGTTCAACTTAAAACCACAGCAAAATCATCAATATACAGGTTGTTATGCTGCCAATTAACATGTTGTTTGTAAATGCCACAGTTTTTGTTTAAATACACCTAATGTAGACAGTCCTTCTTTGAATTTGAGTTTTGCTGAAGCAATAATAGTGTTCACATCAGAGGTAACACGGTGCTACATTAATATAAGATGACTGGACCTCATTAAAGGCAAACCACCAAGTGACTACACCTAGGACAGAGAAATCCTTCTTTTGCCCTCATGTAGTAACCATGTGACATTTTCACCTTGCGGTGACTGAACAACAGAAGTCATCACTGTGAGGCAACGAAAGATAAAAGATGCCAACCACAGTGATGAGAGAAACAATGATCTTTTGCCAGAGAAGGTGAAACACATTGTCCCTTGTCAAACCGTCCATGTGCTGGGAACCTATGCAGTTCTGTCATGACAATGCTTCCTGTTTTTAAAGGCACAAATCAGTAAACGTTCACCCTTTAAATACCGTGTATTCACTAAGGCAGCTGAAGACTGAATCATAGATGAATTGGATCCGAGTGTTTTTCCCCATAAGCCTGTTTGCTTCTTTCATCATTAAGCAGCCCAGACCTTTCACTGCATCAGAACACATTACAAAGTGACATTTAAATGTTAGCAGGTTACATTTGTATTTATTTTGTAGTGAGACTACTCTTTTGTTTACATTTGTATCACAGATTGTGCCTTTAAAACAATGTCCCAGTTTCATCTGACAATAAAAGACAAGTCTCCAAGCCATTATCACTGTGAAGCATACGTTTTGTTAGGCCCCCTTTTATATCAGCACAGTTATCCACAACAAATGCTAAAAGAGATGAGGAAAAAAAAAAAAAACAACACACACACACACACACACACACACACAAACACAAAAGCAGGGCTCCAATTTACTGTGTGTGGCACAAAAGCACCCTGTACCATACAGAGAGCATGAGAGTGGTGAAAACACCAGAATACTGCAGCCAAAAAGCTCAACTACCCTGTATGTGGGGTTATGAATGAAAATGCTGTTTCACTATAACCTGCTGTCCACTGACCTTCTGGCAGCCCCTCCCTGTGTGCATGTAAGTGTGTTTTACATAGTGTAACTTAACCAAAGATATGCCGAGGGCATTGGTTTGTTAATTCGTTCACTCTGCGCAGCTGTACCAAGAAATTATTATAAATAAAGAAAATAAATTAAAAAAATATATTGAGGTGGAAGCAAAGATAACTACAAGTGTGTGCGCAGCACATTTTAAGTATGAGTTCATCCTGATCTCTTTATAAAATAAATATCCATCAGTTTTTAGCAGGATTTGTGTGTTTAGGACGGATCAACATAACAGTTTGACATTTGTCGCTTTGCGAACTGTCTCAGCGTTAATGTGAAGCAACAAGCCGCGGTAACATTCACCCAGCCCAGTTTCAGCAAAATATAATGTTGCTGCAGAGCAAAATAAAAGTGGGACATTTACTCTATGTCATTTTAAAGTTTTTTGTTCAATATTGTCTCATTACTGGTGTTTGATCTGTAAAACTGTTCTGTAGATAACGCACCAAGTTATATACCGATACTGGTTTAGATAAATCATAGTAGCCAAAACCCTTATTTTGAAAGCTTGGTTTTCTGTTGGAGAGGTTTACAAAAAAAAAAAAAAAAGCTGGGCTGACGGTAAATAGTCTGCACTTGTCTAACAGCATTCAGAAACCTTTAGTGAAAATGTACTTGTTCATTGTATCACCTTTCTGTTTTGACAAAAAAATAAAAAAAGAATCATTAAGTAACAGTCACGATGTAATTGATGACAAAAAGGTGACGAGAGAACAAATTTGAGAAGCTTCATATAGAGTTTGTTGGATTTTGTGTAAAATTCCAGGTTTCAACACTCAAAGCGTTCACATTTAGTCAGACATGAAGTCATGTGCTGCTTTTAGCTTAGGTTCTTCAGTGTGTGTGTGTGTGTGTGTGTGTGTTTGTGTGCATGTGTGTGCAATTTGAACACAAACTAGTGTCCAAATATACCAACATAAATACTGTTGTCCTTTTGATATATATATGATTTTTTAGTGTTGTTTAAAAACCAAGATTTACTAGTTAAAAATAAAAACCTGTGTGGAGTTTTACTGTACACAAAATAATAGTTATTGATAAAAAGTAAAATATGACCTTGCTGATACGATCACAAGCAATTAAGGTTTGACTTCTTGTAAAGTGCTTGTAAAAAATAATGTAATAAAATAAAATAAAATTTTAGTGTGTTGTTCTTGGCTTTTGTGTTTTTTTTCCTCGTGGTCTTTAGCTGGTGTCCCCAGAAAAGTGCTTTGGTTGCAAGAAAGTTATCAACCACATCATGGCTGACTTCAAGATCAACTTTTCTTCATTGTCCTTAAAAAGAAATACATGAAAACACTTTGTAATCAGCCAGGGCTGACATCAGGTAGTCCTTTTGTGAACCAACGCAAAGATCAGAGGTGACGATGGCTGCGGACGCTGCGGATCCATGTGAGTTTTTCACAAGTTTATGCAGTTCAACTCCAGTTTTTCCAATCTGTCTACAGACTCAAACCAAAGTGTACCTGTACAGGTGGAAGTAAGAGCAATGGGATGTGTGTTTGTGTGTCTGTAGTATACTGTCTGAGTCTGCTACACAGGATTCTCAATTCCAGGCAGAGGCTGCTGTATTGGCACAGAGGGGTCCGTGCTGCTGGCCTGCTGGGCGAGCTGCAAGACAGGCATGTTGCATAGTGGGCACACTTTCCTCACCTCCAACCATTTGATGAGACACCTACAAAAAAAGAAGGTGCAGTAGAGATTTAGTTAAATCAAGGAAGAGAGAGAGAGAGAGAGAGAGATGAGAGAAAGGAATCAGAATATAAACTTCATTTAGAGTCAATGTTCCGACCTCTACATAAGGAGACAGACTCCACCAGTTGGTTTGTGAGCTTGGCATGTGTGCTGTTTAAGGGCTGATATGGAAACATCATATAATGTATTATTTCATATTTTTGGGCTTTTTAGCATATAAACATATCATAATGGCACGTGCTGATCGATGAGGGCCAAAAAATGCCAAATATATGCTTGTGATAATTTAGTAACAGTGCAAGCATATTACAAAGTTCAAACAAATGACAATTTCCTCTTTCAGCTATAAATGTCTTGTACATTTTTTGGACATGCAGTGTTTTATTAACTTGATTTGAACAAATCCTAAAAATGTTTGTTCATGTTTTAAGAAAATGAACAGATATTGTTAAAGTCTCATTTATAGATATAGGTGTCATCTTAAAAACATTTACTCTTTGCATGGCTGAGGGTAGAAAGTATGTTCGGGTCAGGTCAAAGGTTAGAGCTAGACAACAGTGCCGCCTGTCGTGGGGTCCAGCAGCACGGCCTGATAAGCGACACAGACTCCATCCATGCAATGACTTGACAACAATTTGTTCACTTTAGTGGCTGAAATTGTCGGGGTTTTTTTAACTTCTACTCGTCGTGGGTTACTATGCCTTAGAGTAGGGAAGCATACAAAAACCTTGTGTTTCCATGAAAATCCACAAAACCATATTCTGTACTTACTTCCTATGAAAGGCATGTTTGCATGGGCAAATTCCCAGCTCGTCTTTCTGTCTGAACTCCTCCAAGCAAACTGCACATATCTGAAAGGGAGAGTGTGAGTCAGAAATCGTTTCTGAGGAATGAAATGCAACAACAACAACAAAAAAAAAGCCTTTTTAATTCATGGTTTTATACCTGATTAGATGTTGTTTTCAGTTTAGTCAGATATTCTGGAGGGGTTCTTTGCTAAGTCACTGAGGAAATTCTGATGAACAGATTATGGTTGTTTGCCTTTTAAACACTTGGTGAAGATGCCCTTTTTCCACTGTGCTGAGTCAGTTTGTATTGTTGTTCTACTGCAAAGATGTGATGAAGACACTTGGTGTGTATGATATCTACAGCACATCCTGGCCATTTACTGCTATGAATGAAAATTGAACTTCCAGATAAATTCATGAAAACCTCTTGCAGCTGTACGAGTGTTATGATAAGCTAAATCACCCATCCATCATTTTTTCAGGCTGCAGCTGCAGCAAGCCAAGCCAATGTCCTTCTTGCCACCAACTTTCTTCAGCTTTTCTGGGGGGTCCCAGAACATGCTCTGGCCAGGCTGCATGTTCTGGGTCTGTCTTGATGACTCCCTCTAGTTGGACCATGTTATGTATCCAAATGGAGGTGTACAGGTAGCATGCTAATCTTATGGCAGAAACACCTCAAATGTTTCCTTTCAATGCTAATTTTTGTCCAATCTGGCTTAGATAGACTGCTAAACCAAAACACTGAGGTCACCAAGCTCCACTTCCTCTTCACCACAACAGTGTGGAATAACACCCATATCACATGGATGCTGCACAGATCCACATGGTAAAAATGAATGAAGTCCACACAGTATTCCCATCACAAAACATCATCTGACCAGGGGAAACACTTTAATGAATGAAGGTTTTAATTTATCACACAGTTCTTTTATTCTCTAGGCTCTCTAACCCTTCAACCATTATTCCTCTAGCAACAAAGACTCCTTTTTACCAGTTCTGCTTTTATAGGGGTTGGATGGACATGCAAGGATAAAAAGAACAGCATGCGGGCTCTTAGCTTTCAATCCTGAGGATTTTTGGACACACAACAATCCTCTGTTACGACGACTGCTTAGCTCTCTTCATCAGTGAATAGATCAATGTTCTTGGTCTTTTCAGCATCTTGTCTGTGGTGGCATGCTCAGAGTTGATATCTGGCACCCTTAGCCAACTTCTGACAGACCCTTTTTCTCCATTTAAGTTAATTAGTCTTCAACTAAAGCTTTCAGGATTATGTAAAACACATGGATTTAATTTTCTAGGGGGAAAAAAAAGACCAGCTCATCTTGGGTTTGATCAAAGAAAAAATACATTAATTTAATCTTGACCATATTACAGTCAAGCACTACTGTTGTTGGTCATCAGAGGGCTCGGGGAGGGTGAGTGTGCCAAATGTTTACACACATGTACATTTGTGTGCAATATAAAAAAACAGGCTAAAAGGGTACAGTTGGTGTTGCATTATAATTTCTTTTTGTACTTAGAGTACTAAAAGCAAAATACTCATTATGAATGGCACATTTCACATTATTGTATTATAATTACCGATGCATTACTGTGTATATCACATATAATGTTGCAGCTGGAAAAGCAGGAGCTAATTTTAACTAGCTTATATCCATTTAATTTGAATTACTTTTAGGTAGATTGTGAATTTGAGAATGAATGCCTGCAACTCAGTCTATTGAGTCAGTCCTGCATTAATGTCTCCAAAGTGGGAATCTTCAAAACTGGTTCCTCCATCCAGGTTAGTGTGCGTGTATTATTGTCCTTAAACACAGCTTGGTTATTCTGTCTTCACTCACATGACGGCTTCTGTTAGCACACTGGAAAACTCCAACACTGCTGATAAGAACCTGCATGGCCTCGTGCCATAGCACACATGAAGATGCTACTGTTAACATTTCATTTACACCACAGTGTTAAAGGGATGGTGCTCTTGGCCGGGCACTGCTATTTCTCCTCCATAAAGTCAGCACTGCTGCTTTAAACATTGTTTGCATCTTTCCAAACAAGATGAGCTGGTTTGCAGCATTACATAACAACAGTAGGGAGGACATTCATAATGAAAACACAAGACGCTAATTTCCACATGACAGTGTGTCAAAGACATATACTCAGCGTCAGATGACAAACTGTGTATGTCATCATCGGCGCTCCCAAATTAGTCAAACCCCCAAGAACCTCTGACATATTCTCAAAAATCCCAAGTTGAACTGGGAAGGAGGCCTCAACATCGCCATGTGTTCTGAGACCTATTTATGTCTGTTCTGGATGCACATTATATTACAGTAGTTTGCACCATTTGGAACCTAACCTTCTGGTTCAAGTTGAGGACATTTATGTTTATGATACATGAACTATCCCTTCAGAGACTCAGGGCTTAGCACTTTACTTTAAATGTACCAAAAGGATGACCGACAAGTACAGCACATTGTGGCTGAAGCGTAGCTAAAATTAAGCAGTGCATGACTGGCCTAACCTAGCTGATATAGTAGTACAGTGTGTACTTGTCAGGTTACATTACAGAATGTTCTGCTGGATTGGTGTTAATTTCTTTTATATCGTCATCTCTGACGCTGAGTATATGTCTTTGACACCTGATTTTGTTTTAGTGAAAATGTATACAGTCATTTGATTTTTGTTAGTTTGAACTAAAAACATTTTGCCTAGTTTTTTTTTCCTCAGTGACATTTTAGTCTCACTATATCCTGCATTTTAATTATTGACATCTTCTTAGGTTTTTGAGGGTACGGCTGGAGCCATTTTTGTTGTGTACAGTTACCATGGTTACAGACGTTGTTCTTGTCTGGTGCGAGATTAATAGAAAAGGCTCTTCATCTGTTCACACACAGCGTCCATGATTGAAAAGCTGGAGTTTAACATGAGAGGAGAAGCTACATTGTTGGCTAACATTAATACAATAATACGCCTTTATCAAACACCTTAGAAGATGATTTAAACGGCTGAATGTTAATATTAATCCTGGAACTTCTGAAAGTCCCCCATCAACTTAATGTTAAATATCTTGCCTTTTCATAGATGTTAGTGATTCTCAGTGGATTGTACGTTAATTTACTTGATAAACCCATTTATTCCAAGAACTGTTAGTCAGATCTTGGTCAATGCAAGACTAACGCCTCATTAACCGCAGTTCAGCAGATCAAGTAGTTAAATCAACTTTTGAACAAGGGATAGGAGGAAATCTTTATATATCAGGAGCTACCGTTTCTGATATCACAGATGCAGCAGGTCGCTGAATAACACTTTGCATTAAGACGGTAATTACTTCATTTCCATTTGTTTATCTTTTATATCGTCATTTAGTTTGGCAAAAAAAAATTATATTTCAAACAGAATACATTTCATAATGGTTGTCAAATATTTTACATCGTGTCTGGTACTAAAGATTAATCAACTGATAATAAATGAACCAAGAAATCAGTACTTACCTCATGCAAATTTAGCTCTTTGACTTTTTCCTTCTGAATGACCTATGAGGTATAAGAGATAAGGACAAATGAGTTGCTGGTTGACACTAAAGCTCTAATAGAGTCACAAAAAGCCGTCTCTCTGAAAATACAATAAAAGACTTCAACTAAAAATGAGTGTGTGTTAACAAATCAACCAGTCAGGCTGAATAAAAGCCACAGAGGAAAGGTTTACTGTAATACATGTGTTTGCTTTTGTGTGTGTGTGTCATTGGAGCGCTTACTTGTTTGTATGCATATAGCTCTTTGTGTGCCTGGTGTCGTAACCTGGGGAGATGCAAGGACAAAGGATCTTTTTGATTAGTAATTGACCTTATCCAACTTAAAAGAGACAAATTATACACACATACTGAAAATAAAAATAAAAAAAACAACAGAAAAATAATTTCCTTATTAAATACTTGCCTTTCACCCCAGTCTATTCTAGTGTATCACTGCAGCACGAAATAGGTGATAAAATTAAAAGAACATAGGAGGAGCAGTGCACATTCTTGGGACAAAAATGTTTGTGTATGTTCTGCTCCATGCACATGTCAAAGAGCAGATAATTCTGCCTCAGAAGTAACTTCAGGCAAAACAGTCATGACACCAGTTTCAGAGTGTACTAAAACTATTAAATATTTGTTTTGCTTACGAACACAAAAGGTAGGCCAAGTTCTAAATGAATCATATCATTCCTAAAGGCCTTAACCACTGGTTTCTGGTCAAAACAAACACTAAACTTACAATATCACCCAAAGTACACCCAGATTAGACATTAAAAACATGACTGTAGGTTGTGAAGGGAAAAGTTTGCAAAAGTCCAGGTTAGAAGGAGAATAACAGATACAACCAAAGTTTAAAGATATCAACCTGCTGGTTTAACTTTTCATTAACATCTCTCTTGCAAATGAGCAAAACAAAACACTGAATAAAGAGAGAGCAAGATAAGAGGAGGATTCTACGTGCTGAGAAAGAGAATAAAAAAGGGGGGGGGGGAGAACACAAGAGCAAGAGAAATAGGAAAAGTTCATAGGTTTGTAAAATTTACCTCCATTATAAGTAACCTTAACCTCTCGCAGCAGAGTGAGAGGGATCTGTAAAACAAGCAGCACAGTCTAGGAGAGAAACTGACAATTTGAAAGAGGTCAGCAGGTAAAGGTGCAGAGACTCCCAAGGGCAAGTAGGGAACAAGGTCATGGGTGACTGGGGTGGCTGCTAAATGGCCCTTAAGTACATTGTCAAAGTGAATGAGGAGAATCACTAGCTGAAAATTTTAAATTAGGTTTACCAATGGACTTTTATCTTGTAATTTGCCTGCATGATGAGTCACCATGAACATCAATATGGTTTGGTCCATCTTTTGGCATGTCACTGTACTGAGGATTCAGAAACACTAAGGGGGATATTTACTAAACCTGTTGCAAATTACTGTCAGGAGTGAAAAATATTTATTTTCATCCGCCGGCGCCATTTTAAAAGCAGAGGTTTTTCGACTGTGTGTGGTTTTGTGGATATATTTTACCTCCTGCTGCTGCACTGTGACAAGAAGATGTGGAGAAAAATACTGGGCCTGAGGTTACTGCATGTCTGGGAATGTTCCTGTACAGGGACACATTGTTTTACCTGACCGGGTCTAACCTATGCTCAGCTGGCCTGTGAAGCACCCTGGGGCGGTGAATGATCAACTCATCAAGGTTGGATTCCCCCGGAGCACAGTACCTGTTCGTTTTGACTGCTTGAGGCCAGTGTGTCTGTGATGTGGGTTAATAAGAGGATTCTAACAATCCATGATATTATTGTTGGCGCCATGATACCTGTTAATTTTACTATTTTGGGACTGTACGTGGTCGGGGGGACACAGTGACCACTGGAGCCGCAAAACCTTAGTAAATATGTTACAAACTACAGTGCTATAGTGCTCTGTACATCTATGTTGTTGTTTGGACAATGACTCTGCTGTTCTTTACTGCACATTCATAAACCACAGAAGGCCTAGGACTCTCAGAAACACCACTTGCTCAAGAAAAACCTCTCAATCCTTCTGCATGCTGCACTGCATATTTAACACGTGTGTGTTGAGTGAAGACCCACTGAGGTTTTTGAGTATTTCTGTGAGAGTCTGTCTTGTGTCAAAACATGAGTGCTTGTTTGTCTTTGTAGAAATAATGACCTATCACATCAGCTAATGTCAATTCCTCAGCCCCTTCATTCACCTGCCAATGAAAGAACTGCAGCAATGCTTACTAGACAAAAACTTTAAGACGTCTCTTTTCAAGTTGTCTTGTCAATGCAGCTGTCAGGCTTACTAATTTTCTGAGACCAATATGAATTTTCAACAAGGAATCACTGAATTTAATTGCCTGATGGTACATACTGTATGCTTAAAGTAATCTTGGGCCAGTTCCTTTGGGACACTGCATCTTTAGAAGCCTTTTATAGAGGAAAAATTGCTCTTCTTTTTATCTTTAGTAAACTGGAAATCTTGACTTTAAGTACTGAATCGTGGCACTGCATCAAAGTTATAAAGTGTCTCTTTACATTTAGAAGAAACACAATAGTGGTTAACCTACTTAACATTTACCCTGTAAGTTAGGATATGACAGGGTGGCGAGGGGTGAATTTTGTTGCAAACTGCTGCTTCTCACCGCCTAAACATGAATGACCAGTAACCACCGCTACTTCTCCTTTATGAGAAATAATTACTGGTTTAGACTCAAAGCTCAGTGCATAAAAAGAGATTTTCACCAAGATGAATATAAATGGTTAAACTAATACAAATTTAATATCCAAAAGCACATTTTATTAACATAAAATAGGGTGGGGATATTAGGAAGGTTAAGTTTCTCTTTGGGGAAAAAGGATATGACTGGTTCCTTTGACACCAAGTGCCATGATCATAATAATGTAGGCAAGCAGCTTTGAATCTCAGCATATTACTGTTTTTTCTTATCAAGTCACCAACTGCAGTATTGTTGCTGCCTTCTCCAAACTGTGCTGTTGAAACAGGACCTTTAGTGAAATAGGCCAACTATCATCAAGACAAATACAAAAACATTTCTAAAAGGAAAATATTCCTTTTGACTCAGCCTCAGCTAAACATGACTGAGACAGTGCCATACAATGTGTTGAATAGAAACTACATGATTATTAGAAATTCATATACCTTGTGCTTCCATAGATTTCAAGAACTTAAAATCAGGGTGCACACATGTTCATTATCAGCATTCACTGTAGTGTTTCTCCTTTTTTAAATTACAACTAGCAGTTTTCATCAGCATTAAGACATTGCATTATGAAAAAACGGCACCTGTTAACATATTGTGTTTATGCATAAATAAGGATACAGCTAGTTATTGAAATGATAAGGACATGCCAATATGAATAATTCATGTCTTATGAGGAATGTTACATATTGATAATCTGTGAGAATGAACAGTTTTCATTATAATTTTCAAGTGTGTAAGTAGTGGTACTTCAAGTTTACTAGTCAACAGAGGTACGCTGTGTTCAAAGATATCATGGTCTTCAAAATTAAGCTGCACTTTAGCTTTTCTGAACAAAGCTATGTGAACAGTAAATTCACATGTAAATTTAAAATCTGTTTACAAAAGGATACAAGCAAAACTGAAATGCACTAGTTCCTCCAAAGAAACCACAACACATTTTCAACACTGTTATATTTGTGGAGGAAATAATGAGTGCAGCTAATGTTTAGGTGTGTCACTGGTTTGCTTCTACACTCAACCTCAGAATTTTGGTGTTGCTAGAAAGTATTTCTGTACCACAAGAAAAATGTTTTGGTAGTACAAAGTTCTTCTCTTGTATGGGAAAATTCATCCTAACTATGATGTTTGAACTGACGTTGTCAACATGTGGACAAGTGCTGACTAGCCAAAGAGTGCACTGATCTTACCTAATTAAGTAGCAGCAGAAGAGGAGGCTGAGGATGAAGACAAAGATCGCTGTCCCAAACACCACGATGTAGATATTAAGAGGAAGGTTCTGGAATCCTATATTTGGCATCCTGAAACTGTAATGCGGAAAATCGGAGCTCATGGATGATCTGCACGGAGAGAGACAGGAGACATAGTTCCACACACTTGCAACACACTCTGAAGACTTAGGCAATAAGGAAACAGCATTAAAATAACAAAGCCTAGAGCAGAGGGCAATGTAGTTCCACTTTCTAAATATGTAATACTGAAAGTAAAACTCAAATATTAGGTTTACTATAACTGCTGCTTACAGTAACTTAGCCCTCATCGGCACATGCATAGTTGGCGGCTTCAACTGCAGGTGACAATGACATTTCAAAATATTCTGGATATCAGATCTCTGTTGGCATTAATCTGGGCAATGACCCCAAGCACAGTTGTGGCAAAATGGCTTAAAGACAACAAAATCATGGTAGTGAAGTGGCCATCACAAAGCCCTGACCTCATTCCAATAGAAAATTTGTGGGCAGAACTGAAAAAGCATGTGCAAGGAGGCCTATAAACCAGTCTCAGTTCCACCAGTTCTGTCAGGAGGAATAAGCTAAAAAAAACTCCCGCATCTTACTGTAAGAAGCTTGTGAAAAGCATCCTGAAACATTTGATGCAAGTTCAAGAATTTAAAAGCAATAGTACCAAATATTAACCAAAGTATATGTCATTTTCTGACCCACTGAGAATGTGATGAAAGAAATAAAAGCTGACAAATCATTTTCTCTACTATCATTCTGACATTTTGCTGAGGTGTATATAAACAGTGACTTCCACTGTGGATGACAGCAATAAAGTGGAACAAGGACATAACATTTAAACATGAACAAGTAATCTTTTCCAAAACTGGCCTTCACACTGAAGCATTACAATTTATCTTGAAAGCTGTCACAACATGAGGTAAGCAGCAAAAAACTGAGCTAAAGTTGCATTATTGCCCTTTATATCCTTTACCAACAGCACGCCTATGCTGCAGTCTCTAAAGTAAACAAATGTATTACATGACGTTAATGAAACAAATACACACAGTTGCCAGTTTATTATCTAAAACTAATGTATGATTATTAAGGAAAATGTAGCTTGTGCTGCTGTTCATACATTATACAGAAGGGCGTCTGTGTTGTTTGTTGTAAATCTGATGGACAAAATAATAGAGCAGCACCAGTTTCAACAGAAACCAAACATTATAACCTTTGTGAAGGTAAGATTTATTGCAGGACCACAGCCGCTGTATTACACTGCAGTGGTTTTAGTCAGGTGTGCTTAATAAACTGGCACCTGAGTGTATGTAGTAGGTGAGAGGTGAGGGCATGGGGGTTTGAGCCCAGATGGATTAGAGAGGAGGACTTTCCTCACTGCTGAGACAGTTAGTATACCTGATCTGAAAGAGGCTAAATGGTCAGAGTGCTTTAGTGCCCCACAGACACCACAACAGTAAATGAATAATAAGCCACATTAGGAGAAAGATGCATTTTGTACCTTTATCCCCCCGTTTCTCTAACTAATGAGCCACTGGCTGTCCCTGCACAGCCTCACTACTCTAGGATTTGCTTAAATTAGGCACATACCCAAACCTCAAACTCTACACTGAAAGTAAATAGCAGGGCAATGATGTAATAAGGAATTAAAGGCAACCCAGAAAACACAGTGTGTGTCATTTCTTTGTGGTTAACAGATAGCTTCAACTTTAACTACAGTATTCAACCACTCCTTATGTTTCATAAACAAGGTCAGCAGGCATCCAGAGAGAAAAATGCTTGCTTTTAAATATTATTTAAGACAGTTTTAAAATACATGGTGTTTTCAAGGCTACATATCAACACTTTTCTGTTTACATTATGTGACAATCCCTTCTGGAAAAACGGATTAATAAAAGCCTGTGTACACCAACAAGGATCTAGTGATCAAGTGCTCTTGGTCAATATAAGGGGGTATGACTAGACATGTCTACACCTACTCTGAGACAGGAATAACTATTACTCCTTTTGGAACCCTGCCTTGTGCCCCTCCCCCTTCCAGACACCAAAGGCTTCATTCCTCTGGATAGTGGAAAGTTTTGTAGTTTCACTGTGGGAGCTGTGGTGTCATACTATATTTTGCAATGTGCTCAGCTCTTCCTAGTTTTATATTAAGGACCGTGCTCTTGAAAGACACAGGGCTCATGATATCATAACAGGATTAGTAACTTGTTCTCTTTCCAACTTATATTTCAATGTCTCCGTTGTACAGAACACTTGCAGTGCACTGTTCATGCACTGAAAGCAAATATGACTGGCTGAAGCAAGGGCCAAATCTAACAGGCTAAAAGACAGGTTCATCATGTTGATGAGGTTCAAATGGTGTCCAACACATTAAGATAAATATTTTAAATGGGCCAAACAGCTTGTACAAGCATCAATTCATAACATTTTGAATAATAATTCCATATAAATCATAAGGTGACAAAAAAAGAATAAGTACTTTAGGCTCCAATGAAATGAGAACTTACTGCTAGCCAACAATTTGTTAGCACACTACTATGTTTACTTTAAAGATGAATTTGTTCCAGTTAAGAAACTGGGCTGGTGTAAATCTTTTAAAACATCATCATCATCATATCTTACTTTATATTATGTAGAAACACACACATACAACATACATGTACCCGAGCCTTGCATTCATGAGCGGAAAAGTCGATGTAGTTCTAGAACACAGATATGACATGACTTATCCTTAAGAGCCTTGTCAGTGGGTTGCCTTCTGTTGATGTCTTTGGATTTTAGCCCTTCTTCCCCTGTTCATAATGGCTCCATGCCAAACTTGAGCCCCTCGCCACTCTCTGCCTCGCTGTCTTAAGTGAGCCACAACAACCTCCCCCTGCTCATCTGAATACACAAACACGCAGCAGAGAAACATGCTTTCCAAACACAAACAAATACCCCTGGAGAAATGTGTGAACTGCACAGACAATTCATGTTACAGCACATAATATAGTTAACTAAACAGAGGCTTTTCATTGTTATGATTTTTTAATAATAAATAACCTACAGTTTCACATACTTAAAGAATACTGCTCAAAATAGCATGTGGACTTAAGTGCCAACAAAATGAAAATCTTTTTGCCATTATGCCATAATTTCTATGATCTCCTGTCACCACCTGTGTTAAGAACTGCTGACGTGTAAAAGTAAGCCTATGTTGAGATGTCGACATATTTAGCACCTTTTTATTAACAGATGGGTTTTAAATAGTGAAGTGTCAGGGATTACTCAGACGGAGGCTGCACTGAAATTTCCTGCCATTTCCAACATCCATCCATCTATCCATCCATTTTCTAAACCGCTTAATCCCAAACGGGGTCACGGGGGGTTGGAGCCAATCCCAGCCAGCAGCGGGCGAAAGGCGGGGTACACCCTGGGCAGGTCGCCAGCCCATCGCAGCATCTCCAACATTCAAACACTAAAATAGAAAACCAATTAACTACTCAATGAATGAATATCCGAATAGTTACAATTACAGTTGTCTTTGCAGGTATGGCCAGTCAACCGCTGCCAATTAAGGTTCGAATAAAGGACAAATAAAAAGTCTTCTTCGCTGCACTATGAGTCTGTTTCCTTCACTCTGTGCAACACCCCTACAATATCAAGACTCACTGACCTAGAGAATCTTGAGTACTTAAGTGATCTAGAAATCCAAGGCCTTTGCACTAAACAACACATATCACAAAAAGGTTTCTGGGTTGCCACATCTTAAAACACAGGGGTTACAAAGAACTGCTAAAGTGTGAAAATTCTGATTGTAAATGTAATACAAACATTAGATATTAAAAATGATCACAGTCTAGACTTAGTACATCATCCAAAATTCCCTCCTTGATGCTGACAGCCACTCAACAGCTTCCTGTGTACCTAAAATACCTTACTCATTTTTTTTTTAAGGATAATCACCTTTATTTGGCCAAGTATGTTACCCACACAAGGAATCTGTCTCCGGTACAGAACCGAGGAAGCCATCTGGACAAAAACCACCATCACTGGATATAAAAGTAGTGACTGTTCAATGCTGACCGAGCCACATCTACTGAGCAGAGCAGAGATGTATAGCAGTCACAAATGCAATGTTATTGCGAAGGCAGCTCACACAAAGAAGACCAAACAGAATTCAGATGACTTGGCAACAAACTCTCTCTCTCCTGGTTGGAAAGGGCAGATGTGACTTGCATCTGTTCACCATTTTCTGCTCCATCTGCCTCTCTCACTCACATGTTCACATGCAGGGCTCCGGACTGTGAGTGATCAGTTGCATTTTGCAACCAAATTTATTTAAGGTGCGACTAACTTTTTTCAAAGGTCGCACTGGGTGCGACTGCAAAATAAACAGGTTATACACAACTCACTGTAGAAATGGTGGACAGATGTAACAATTTCCATAATAATACATAGGTGGTGCCACCAAGTCAGGCACTGGTGCCACCAAGTCTCTCAGATGGTGGCACCAGTATGAAATGTCAGTCTGGAGCCCTGACGTGGCTTCACCCAATTACATAACCAACAACAAAGCCATGCACGTTCTTGGAAAATGACTATGAATGGGCAAATCCTTCTTCACATTCATTGTGCACTGTTCCCTAGGTTATGATGGAACACACACAAAAATGTATTATTTTCAACTTTGGTGAAATAAAAGCCCAAGAAACCTAAACAGTTAAAATGTTAGCCTTAAAAAGATAGGCTTATTTATTTATTTTTCCTGCCGTATTTCCCCTAATAGTGTGTATGGGGACTAGCTAGTGCTAATTTTGATATCACTACTACCACTGTAGAGATTAAGGGAAACAAAAAGAAAAGAAATTGCATTGAATGGTGTGACAGAGGTTAATTAATTAGTATCCGTAAATGCTCAGAATACACAGGACGTACTGACATACAAAATGTATGCATTACCAGTGGAAAATGAAACTTTTCCACTGTTCATGATGACTGAAGGACCTAAAGCAAATGCTACTATATGTAAAAACAAAACAAAAAAGAAAAAAGGAAAGACAGCCACACTCACCCGACTGCTTGCTCAAACAGCTTTTAGCTTTTAGGTCACCAAGAAA